ATCTGAATAATGGGCACACAAAACTGTTTTACTAGTTAGAGTCCTTTGCCTTTTTAATGGAATGTCAAGGAAAATCATTATGTCACACAACACCATTACAGAATGAGACACAGAATGTGATCCCCGCCCCGCAAATGAAGCAGCAGAGTGCAAAACAAACTGTAATGCAACAGGATTGTGTTTTGGTGGGAGGGCAAGGGTGAGTTCATCCCCTGAATTCTGCTTAGGGACTATGGCTGCCTATAGTGCTAGCCTATGCAAAGACTAAGGGGATTCCTGTACCAAGCAGACTGGGATAACTGAGCCAGGGAATTCCAGGGCCAGGGATTATTTTTCAGAAAACAAAACAATAACAATAAAATACAAGAATCTAAAACAATGCCGTTAAGGGAAATTAAACTCATTCCAAACAAAGAGAAGATCTGAAGGGAGACAGTCAGAAACCTAAATGATGAACGGGGTTGACTTGACTTGTGCATTTTCCTTTATGAACTGAGAAAAAGTCTCACATGCCACATCCCCAAAGCACTGCAAAACATTCTCAAACAGAGTGCAGTGCGGAAAGTCATAAGCCAAGCAGATATTAGTATAACTGGCAAGAAGTGGGTGGTAGCTGAAAGCATCCAATGCAGGGAGGAGTGAGGTAGGATAAGCTGAGATAATGTCTCCTTATTAATTATAATGTACATGCAGCTTTTTAAAGTGCAAAGACTGATTCACAGCCTTGTTGTTACAACCATTTTTGAAGTAGGTCACTGTTGTTTTCACTCCCAAGGAAGGGGAAAAGTGTCTAGGCAATGGAGATTTGCCTGTGGGTGCCTCAGAAGATGTTCTTCCTGGTCTCCTAAGCCTAGCAGCTGTCTCTCCATTGTGACCATCTGGGACAATGTAGTAGTGGGGGTTGAGAAGTAAGCAACGGTGTGTGTTTGCTGGCACATTCATATCCGCATCCTAAGGGAATGGGGGCATGGTGTTAAGGCTCTGTGAGTGAAACAGTGCTGGCCCTGTTCCATCTCCTGGAAACTGCAAATATGCAGACCCTTACTCAGCTCCACTTTGCCATGGTCATGCCAGATGTAACAGATCATGTTGCAGCTAGGCAAGAACCCTATACAGTCGCTTACAAGCACACATACATGCATCATCTGTTGCTGCTTCTACTGTGCAGGGTACTCACAGCCAGCCAATTTCCATATCAGGTTTTGATCATGGTGGGGGAAGAGGGGAAGCTGCAAGACTCCTGTAGTCATGTGGCAGCCAAGGAGGAAAGGAATCACATTCATTGTCCCAGTGACAGAGAGACCGGTCTACTGTGGTCCCTTAAACCAGCATGGCCACACTGATTGTTGAGACCACTCCAGGCTGATCAATTTATTCCCCTCCACCCCTGTCTCTGTTTGTTTAAATGTGCATCAGTGCCTTATGTCACATACAGGGTTACAGATGCTTCAGGTTACAGATGCTTCAGGTTACAAACTCTCCTAACCCAGAAATAGTACCTCAAGTTAAGAACTTTGCTTCAGGATGAGAACAAAAAACCGGGCGGCGGCGCAGCAGCAGCAGGAGGCCCCATTAGCTAAAGTGGTACCTCAGGTTAAGAACAGTTTCAGGTTAAGAACAGACCTCCAGAACGAATTAAGTTCTTAACCTGAGGTACCACTGTATGCTCTGCTCCCCACTGCTTCCTTGATGCCTAGGAAAGATCTCCCAATATTGGCCTCTAATCCCATAACCACATTGTCTATCCTTTCTGACCCTTGTGTTATCTGTCTTTCTGTTGTCTCTCAGGGATGTGACACCCTCCCCACTTTTTACCTTTTAATTCCTCTTTGAAAATCTACCTTTTCCTTCCCAGGTTTTCACTGCTTTGACCTCTTCTTTCTTTGTATTTGTATCTTTCTCTAATGCCAAGGAGCATGGATGCAGGTGATATACCAATGAGTCCCTACTTATTTTGGTTGCTCCTTTATTCCCTATGGCAGCAATAGATACCAAGTGCACAACTGAAGGCCCTTAAAGCAAAGAGATTTCAGGTGACCTAGACCAGGCCAGGAGCAGGTGTGTATAAAGAGGGAGGGAGCTGAAATGATTCCCCCAAAGTCATGGTGTTATCCCTAGTCAGGTTTTTCAACACGCAGCTGCAATCCGACTGCATCCTGCCATCACTCCATTACACAGAATCACATCCTTAACTATCCGTACTGTTATTAAAAGATTAGATTTAATATATCCTCCCTCAAATTATAGTTCACCTGAGTAGATAATTAAAAGACTATTAAGGAAGATATGTTTTCATGTGTTTTCACACCTACTTCTCTTGTGATAGCAGGACTGCAAAAAAAAATGTTTGCAAAACAGCTCCCATTTTTTATTTTGGCAGTGCAGTAATTGCTGCTTGTCATGGCTATCCATAGGGACTTCACTTTTTTAATGATAATGACATTTCTCGGGAAACGTGAGCCAGAAGACCAGAAAGCACTATTTGGGTGACTCAAGGCTCCGTCAGATTGCCTATTTATTGAGCGCATATCTGAATTTGTGCAAAGCTTGTGCAGAGGTCAGAGTGCTTTAGTGAGCACTCGTTCTGCTTTATTTGTAGGGAGTTGATACATTGCGCATCCCTCCTGAATCATCCTGATATGCTTTTGGGATGTTTGATTGTCTTCCTGTTATTCATTCATCTGTACTTTCATTTCTCCACCATTTTTCTAGCAACACACACACAGAGACACACACGGACGGGGGGTGGGAGAGCACCATGTAAAGTACTCTTTTATATAGAAGCTATAAAGGTAGTTTGTGCCCCCAAAGAGCTGAGAATCTTACATGATGACAAGACACAAGAGGAGGGAGGAACAGACAAAAGAGTGGGCTGGCCCTGTGGGAGGAAAACTCCTTGCAAAGGTTCTCATTATCGGATGAAGATGGCTCCCATGCTTGCCGCTAATAATAAAAGCTGCTTCTAAAAATATGGTTGTGTAAGTGCAGTAGGCCTGTGCGGCCTTCTCCTACTCCCTTCGCATCAGAAGGCTGTCAGTCAGTCTCCAGGAAAGGTCTCATGTGGATTTCCGTATTTCTCATTTGCTTGAAGGGCTCTTGGGGAAGAGGGAGCAGCACAGATCCTTGCAGGCTGCTCTTCGCTGCTCAGTGCAGAATGGCAACCAATAATCAGCTTCCTGGCAATAATGAGCCAAAGTCACGACTAGCCAATTGCCATTACCAGTAGCATCCGTGCAGGGGCACCGACTTGCCCCTCACATTGAGGGGGCCTGGCGTTGCGTGATGTCATATGCCAAGGGGGCCTGGAGATGCCAGGGGTTGAACCTGGAACATTCTGCCTGCAAACTAGTTACAGTGGTGCCTCGCAAGACGAAAAGAATCCGTTCCATGAGTCTCTTCGTCTTGCGGGTTTTTTCGTCTTGCGAAGCAAGCCCATTAGCAGTTTAGCGGATTAGCGCTACAGTATTAGCGGCTTAGCGGGTTTAGCGGATCAGCTGATAAGCGGCTTAGCGATCAGCTGTTAAGCGGCTTAAAGATCAGCTGATAAGCGGCTTAACGATCAGCTGATAAGCGGCTTAGCGATCAGCTGTTAAGCGGCTTAGCCATCAGCTGATAAGCGGTTTAGCAGCTTGGGAAAAAGGGGGGGAGGAAAAAAACCCCGCAGGAACTCGCAAGACATTTTCGTCTTGCGAAGCAAGCACATAGGAAATTCATTTTGCAAAGCACCTCCAAAATGGAAAACCCTTTCGTCTAGCAGGTTTTCCGTCTTGCGAGGCATTCGTCTTGCGGGGCACCACTGTACTTTTCTGTTGCGCTACAACCTTCCCTGTGTATCCCATCTGGAGAAAGGTGGACTAGAAATGTGATAGATAAATAAATAAATAACCACCTCCAGTAAACAGCCAACATAATCTGTATCACTGAGTGGAGCTAGTTATTGAAGATGCATCCTGATGTAAACATCTGCATGGTGTTAAGACCAGTGCTGTTGCTGCTGGTTTGTCTCATCTGACACTCTTTATAAGCCATTGTAAGACTGTGAAAGGCAATAATGGGCAACTGATACTGACCCCATGTGATTGTATGATGTTGCTAATTTCCCTGAAAGATTAGCATGAAGAAGTCCTGCTTCACTTCATCCAATAATTCCAGAACAGATGAGGAAAGTTGCCCATGCCATAGGCCTGTGATATGGTCCTCCTGTGCTGGATCCAGCTGGAAAACTATTTACAGAGTCACCTTCATTGTCCAATAGCAGTTAATACTGGGAGGACCAACCCTATCATTAGGCAGGGTGAGGTAAGCACCTTAGATGCCAGATACTGGCAAGAGGGGCGACAGCATTCCCTAGCTGTTTTTCCTGCATTCACCCCAGAACCACCACTATCCCATTCTATTGCCTCACAGCTTGCTCCCCTGCCCCAAAATCAGACTTGCTGCTTCAGATGCTCTGGAGGACTTAATCCTGTATCTCATGTTGAAGTAACTGCCAATACAGTCAGCTTTCATATGTGGAACAAGAAGAGAGCACCATCTTGTCCTTTGTTTCAGGCAGCAAAATGCATTAGGCCTGAAGGCTGGCCAAGGGTCCTGGTAGTAGCCCTGCTAACTGTTAAGCACATTTCAAGACTAAGTTGGGTAGCTTCTCCCACCCCCACCCCCACCCCCACCAACATCTAAGAACATTATGGGAGGATGGCTTCAAGAATTAAAGAAGGATACAGTTAACATAGTGGCATTTAAGCAGAGTTGTTATCTTGTTGGCATCCATCTGTCTTGGGAGGCAATGGAAGAGTGTGCCTTAGGGTGTAAAGTCAAACCATTGCAGAGTTACTGACAGTGCTATTTTTCTGGGGAAAGAGGTGGTGGCACTCACGAAGAACATCTGCCTCGTTCTCTTAGAATGGCAATGGTGCCCACCTGAGAGGGGCTGGAACTGGGTTCTTGTGAGTTCTGGTTGAAAAAAATGCCCTTGTTACAGCACCTGCTGTGGCTGTAGAGAGAGACATGTTTTATTGCAGATGGGCTAGATGAAGGCATCCAGTTCTGCTATCACATGCACAGAAAAATGCTCATGCTCAGGGTCACTTTGCTCTTGAGTTGACCTTGACTTTGGCAGTTTCTATTTCTGCCACCAAGGTCAGGAAAAAGATGACCACCGCTTGAAACCAGCACAAGGAGCTCCACAGAGGAGGCAGTGAAGACATGAAGCCCATCACAGAAACATCTTCAGATGTCCTTGTCTGCTGTGCACTACATTTATTGAGCCAGTAGAGTTCCTGTAATGAAGCTAATGGAAAAGGCAGCAAGATTACTGAGATTTCTCATTTTTGGAACGAAAGCAGGAATATTCCTCCTGTCGTCTTGCTTCCCTTATTAAGGTAACATTATTGTGCATTACGGTACCATCTTCCCTAAAGTGCCTGAAGACATCCTGTCAGGAGGAGATGCTTTAGATGTCGAAGCTGTTGGCGGGCTTTGTTTTGTTTTTTTGCTTATCCTGTTTAATGCCAAGAGGCACATATAATACAGAGAATTCGTTCGGAGCCCAGATCAAGTATCAGCTGTTGTGGTGCCAGGCTTCAGCTCTGTGATGAGAGGGGAAGTAATTGGATCAAGGTGTTCCACCTGAGGCAAGCAAATAAGCCCCCTGGGTCCGCAGACTCTGAAAACAGCTGTTGACTAGGGGGGCAGTCAAACAGCAGCGGGTCACCTGGGCATCCTTTCATTAAGATGGTAATTGAAAACCAGTTCACAACAATGGAGTCAGTGTAACTGCCTGCCCACGCACAATTCCACAGAGGAATATGCAGATTCCAAGGAGGGCACTGCAGCCACATTCCAAGGCTTTTGTCTCAAAAACATCTGGAGACTGTCCAGAATGCCTTCTGCCTAGGTTACATATGGTGGAAGCAAGCAACTCCAATAAGGATGTGTGTCTGTGTCTGTGTGTGTCAAAAAACACAAAAACACCCCCCCCCCCAAATATTCAGAATAGAAGAAAGTGTGCTTCATCCATCAGATCAATCATATCCAGAAGCTCTGCTCCCAGGGGTGTTTCCTAGTCTGGCAGACTCCAAATGGCAAGTAATTGGTTAGACACCAAGCAAGTACCCAAGCTGAAGACAGACAATAGCTTTTAATGGTAGGTCTACAGTTACGTGGTTACAGCACACGAGCCCTGCCATTTCCAGCTAGCAGTATTTCATGGCGTAGGGATGAACCCAGCCCAAGCTTTAGAAAGCAGCTGCCAGTCAGAGCAGGCAGAAGATCAGTCAAGATAATGTTGGGGTACGAGGAGGAGGAAGAGGAGGAGGAGGAGACACCATTAGGCAAATGGATGAGTGGCTACTGCTGCTATCGGTAAAGTGGTATTTTGTGAATTGTTATGAGTCATTGCTTTGTTATATTTTAAGGACTGTGCTATTTTAGGGATGATGTGCATTCTTTTTACCTTACCGGACTTCGTTGTTAAGAGCAATTCCTTTTCTCCTGCCGTCATTTCTGTCAAAGAGTTTTGTCACTTTTTTGAAGCTCCAGAAATCTCGCAAAATTTGTTTGATGAAAGAAGGCTGGGGGTGGGCCAGGGATGGACACGTGCCAAATGTGCAGACCATATGCAATGGCTCAACTGCTAATGTGCTTCCTCTATAACTCCAGTGTTTTCTCCAAGGGTCACAGCTCAGTTGTAGAGCATTTGCTTTGCATGGAGAAGGTCCCAGGTTCAACCCCAGCATCACCCCTGCCTGAAATCCTGGGGAGTTGCTGCTGGTCAATGTAGACAGCACTGAGCTAGAAGGAACAATGGTTGGGCTCAGTATAAGGCACCCTATGGTGTTCCTCGGGATGCAGATGGTGCTGTGGTCTAAACCACTGAGCCTAGGACTTGCCGATTGGAAGGTCAGCGGTTCGAATCCCCGCGGCGGGGTGAGCGCCCGTCGTTCAGTCCCAGCTCCTGCCCACCTTGCAGTTCGAAAGCATGTCAAAGTGCAAGTAGATAAATAGGTACTGCTCCGGTGGGAAGGTAAACGGCATTTCTGTGTGCTGCTCTGGTTTCACCAGAAGTGGCTTAGTCATGCTGGCCACCTGGAAAAACTGTCTGCGGACAAACACCGGTGCCCTTGGCCAGTAAAGCGAGATGAGTACCATAACCCCAGAGTCGTTTGCGACTGGACTTTACTGTCAGGGGTCCTTTACCTTTACCTTTATGGTGTTCCTTTTATTAGCACAATTTTCTCCCCTCAGTTCTTCTTCTTCTTCCATCCTGGTTTAGGTACTTCTCAGGGGTCATGCGGTGAGCAAGATGATGTCACAAGAGTCTGTAGGCAATTAGATTTGAAATGTGATGATGTCACAGAGTACAATTGAGAGCAATTCAACCCTTATGGCAAAGAGTGATAGGAAATCTTAAGTTGTTTCAACTCAGCTGTGGTGCGCGTGCACACACACAGACACACACACAGACACAGAGGCCACCTTCTTTGAGGAAGAAACTCCTTTTAATTACTAGTCAAACACCTCAAATAATCCAGGCAGATGCTTCCCTTTTATGCAAATTGGCACATAGCTTTACCATTGTGCCATAGTGTTCTAATTCTAATTACAGTCTAGCCAATGATCCTACTGGGCACACCTCTCTCTCTCTCTCTCTCTCTCTCTCTCTCTCTCTCTCTCTCTGTTACTCTGTTACTGTATATATTTTATCTCACCCAGAATCTTCTTGCTTCTTTTTGTCATCTTTTTTTCTGTAGATCTGCCTGCATGCTTGGCAAATGCACTGGAGCCAAACATCTGAGTACAGGACGGATTATGGGCAATTCTAGCTAAGCTTCCTCAAAGCTTACAGATGGTTTTCAAAACCTCTAATTCTCCAAACGAACTGGACTCTGTCCATTGCCGAAAGTGTCGCTGTTTCTGCTGCTCATTAGGAGGGGCAAGATGTATGATTTGTATGTATGTATGATTCTGTATAAGAAAGATGCGGATTTAGGGGAGCGGAACCAGTTGCACTTGGGTGTGGAGCCTCGGGGCCAATGCAGGGGGCACCACAGCTATGATTTGGAATGAAGCACAAAAGGCATCGCACAGGGTGTCGCTGTCATTTGAGATCCCAAGATCTGCCCCTGGAGAAGCCCTGCTCTGTGACTAATGGAAATTGTATTTAGTAACTTATGTGGGCTTTTGAGTAGAGATGTCACTATTTCATACATCCTTGGCACAGAATATTTAGCTAGCTGAATACAGTAACTACTGAATAATAATAACTACTGGCTGCTTGCTTTGAAAGCAGTCACTGCAATATTTATGCTACCATCAGTACCTTACTGATGCACAGGGTATTGTTGTACTGGTTACAAGAGCTAGCAGGTAACGTTACGATTCCCTATCCGTTTTTGACTTAGTGCAGGAATATCCTAGCCAGCTTTTATGTTGTTAGACAGAAATCAAATAGAATGTTCCTTCCAGCATTTCAGCAATGTATTTCAGCAATATAGCTGCTTTCATTCAACAGAAGACACCCCAAGGTTGCCAATTGCCACCCTGTAAAAAATGTGTTTGCATGGTGTTTAAGGTAGCGGAACTGCACCAGGCTCTTTACAATTGCTCATATACTGATCAATCAAGCTACCCAGAAAACATACAGTCTTCTCCTAAAGCGTTGCCAAAGGGCCAGAACAGACTGGTAATTTAAAATAACTACCAGGTTGTATGGTTATAAAGCCTTAAATGGCTCAAGACTGCAATACCTCAAGGACTGCCTCTCCCCATATGAACTGACCCTGTAATCATCATCTAAGGCCTTTCTTAGTGTGTCTCCTCCACAAGAGGTCTGGAGGGTGGCAACATAAGAATGGGACATTTTTGTTGTGGCTCCCCATTTGTGGAATGCTCTCCCCAGGGAGGCTCATATGATACCTTCGTTATATATCTTTAGGTGCCAGGTGAAAATTTTTCTATTTAACCAGGCCTTTGGTTGATTAACATTCTACGTCCTTTAAAATGTCTTTGTGGGAGAGGGGTTATTGGTTGGTTGTTGTTTTTATTATGTATTTTGTGTTCTCATTTTGTTTTGCTTTTTATGCTGTGAACCACCCTATAATCTTCAGAAGAAATTTAAATAACAACAACTATGTATTTGCACCCCTGCTCACTTCACTTCGCTCACTGGCTGTCCCCCCTCACCACCACCACACATCAATTACTATTACTATTCTTAGATATTAGCATTATTTTTCACATAGTGTTCCTTCACTAGATTGGAACCTCAGCAGGCATTCTCCCATGAACCTTCATTTCAATAAACTGGTGCCAGAGTTGCAGGACCTATTAATTGCCCATAATGGAAAGTGGTGTTTGGACTCATAAAGGAGTATCAGGAGTACCCCCAAGTTATCTACTCACTCCTTCAGAGGGAGTGTGTCCTGAACCCCTGGCCTACATGGCAGTAATTCAGTATGTCAAGTCCTCAGTCCAGGGTCAATCCACATGCCCAAAGTCCAGTCCAAAGCAGAGTCCCACAGAGATCCTGGTGCATCCAAGCTGAGGTCCATCAAACATGAGCAGACACAGCACAGTGCTTCCCTTATGTACTTTGCATGCTGATTGCAGCATCTGGGCTTGACAAGGTGACCCTCACCTGCTCCAAGCCTGCCCCAGCTGAGAAAACACACACCTCCTCCCAGAGCCAGCGAGCCCCATCTGGCCAGCTAGGGAGCTGGGCTTTGCGCCCTTGCCTACCTGAGACTCACAGTGCCTCTCCCACTGCTCCCTATGCCTATGCCCACTGTGTTCATGGAGATGGGGGCCACTCTGGTGATGGGTTCTGTTGCTCTGGTTCCTGTGCATGGACCCCCATCCCCTCATCCTCTGTCACCCTGTACTTCCTACACCAACCTCTCCTTCCCCATCCCCAGCTTGCCCCGCTGTGTCCCAGTCCTGGCCACACCCCTTGCCAGGATCCTCTTCCTCCTCCCCGCAGTCCTGCCAGTTCATAACAGAGTGTATCTCCATCAAAAGCAGGCAACCTCCCAGGCATCCAGTCTTGGGAGCCACCCACCAATAGTGCCACAGTTTTATCTGGATTGCTTTAGTTTGTTGACTCTCATCCAATGAACTGAGGCAGTACAATGTTCCCGCATATCCACTGCCACACCTGCCTGTGTAAAGCAGAAGTAGAGCTGTGTGTCACCCGCCAAATCTGTACTATCTCATTAAGCCCCTTGACGTCTCACCCATTTCAAACACCCATGCTCCTCTCATGATTACATCCCTTCCTTCTGGCTATTTTCTCTCTGCTTTCCCACTCACTATTTAAGGTGTTCAGCTTGTCTTACTTCTTTTTCTTTTGAATGCAATGCATTTTTAGATATTCTAGTGGGCCGTTATGCTGCCATCCAGAATTCTGGAATTTCCATTATTGCTCAGTCAGTGTCTGATGATCTAGCTTTCAATGAGATTTCAACCAACATCATGCCGTTGTGTCTGACAATCCGTATCATTTTGAGACCCTGCAGAAAAAGCAAACGCCATCGCAAGGCTGGAGGAATGGGAAGTCTCTGCAAATCAATATGTAGAAGTGACACCCGAGAAAACGCTGCAAGTCAGAACGCACAAAGAAAATGAACAATACAAAATAGCATGCTCTGTTTTGTAAAGAGTAACCTCCAATCTGGCGTAGCAATTGAGGGATGTTATTTCAAAGTAATACTAAGAAAGCAAAGCCAGGGGATTTGATGTGCAAATGTTTCATGCGCTCCTAAAGCCACAGCTCCTCCCAAGCGGCCTTTGCCAAGAAATACATTACAAGCGGTATGTTAAGTACAAATTGTAAAGTATTTTGTATTGGCTTTGCCATTTCTGATGTGACAAGCACTGAGAGTAAAAACTGAATGCCAGGAAATCCTTCACCCTGCTCACAATTAGTTGGCTCAGGCCTTGCTCTTGCTGAGAGGCCAAGCCTCTACCAGGGTCGTGCCATTTTAGACTCCTGGTTGGGGCTCATGTAATGGAGTCCCCACACACAGAACAGGCACAAAAGATTCCTATACATAGAAAACTACTGTGCCACTTAGAAGGCGAAAGGTATGATCTTTCTCCTTCATATCTAGTTGCAGGGAGCCTAAGAATGAAAGCCTTTGGCCTGCTGGATCAGGCCAAAGACCCATTTAGTCCTGCAATCTGTTTCACACATTGGCTACCCAGCAGCTAGTATACAGGGAGTTTGAGGTGGGGTTTCTTTCTCTTTTTTTGCACAAAGTAATGCACTGTTTATATAGGTTAACAACATTCATATATTACTCAAATTAAAGACTGCTAACTGCTTTACAAAAGACAATCTAAAATATTCATTAAAAGTAGCAATGCAAGCTAACATGGAAACAAGTTACATAAAATGTAAATATAACTTTTAAAATACAAATATTTAAAAATATAAAATAAAAACAGCAATTTAAAAACTACTATACTTACTAAAATTGCATGTTAAAATTGTATGCTAGAATTACATATCTGCTAAAATGATATGTGAGCTCCAACCTTTATACCCCAGACAGCCGTTTCCCCGCTTTGATTTTATTTTATTTTGCTTAACTTCATGTAGGAGGAAGATATTCTTTTCTCTTGCAGGTGTCAAGGAAGTACTTTCTGCTAGGATGAAGCCTTCTCCCTCACTCCAGTGCAACAAAAAGTGAGAATTCACTATGGTGGCTATGTAAATAGGTGCAGGTTCGATTCTTCATGGTTGGGGTTACCCAGTGGCAAGAAACATGTCTAGCCTCACCACAATCCCAATGGTTCCATTGAGTCCAGTTCTTTATATTGATCCCTACACATGAAAATGAATGCCACTCATGCCCCCAAAGATGAAGCTGGTGCAAATTACAATGAAAAGGGTCAAGATTAAACTTTGGAAAGAAATTTATGATAGCACAAACTAGTTCATCATGAGACAGACTGCCTTGGAAGTCTAGATTTTCTTCAGTAGAGGTGTTTAAGCAGAGAATGGATGACCACCTTGTTTGGATGCTGTAGCCCTGGGTTTCTTGTATCAGGAGTGGTTGGACTAGATTACCTTTGAAATACCTTCCAACTATGTGAGTCTTGAAATTTCGCCTTGGCTTGCTTCATATTTTTTAGCAGCTTTCCTATGGTTTTCTTCTGTTCCAGTTGTTATTAGAAGTTCTGTGGTATCTTTCTGGAAACCCAAGCACACCCTGCCTTTCTGAGGCAACAGAAACTGGGAGCCTCTCCTTTTTTGCAAGTAGCTTCTAAGTTGACTTTACCACATGACCCTAAGGCTGTGTACACACTACACCTTTAAATTACATTTGAAACACATTCTTTCCCTCAGTGAATTCTGGGCACTGTAATTCACCTCTCAGAGTTATAATTTCCAGCAGCTCTTAACAAACTACAGTGCCCAGAATTCTTTGAGGAAAAGAATGTGTTTCAAATGTGCTTTAAAGATACAGTGTGTTCACAGCCTGAAAATGAAAATCTCGGAGGTCCATCCTGCCACCCGAACAAATGAGAACAGGGGATAATCATTAGTAAGAAAGGGTAGTTGAGAAAAAGACACAAACCACTTTTAAAACCAGCCTTTAGGGGTCATTGCAAAATTGTCCATATCCCCTGTAAATTAAGCTCCACTACAGAGAGCACTCATTTTATTCCTCTGTCAGAGTTGAGCCACCCAGTCCTAGAGTTACTCCACACTGATGAAACATTAGCCCAGGACACAAATCTGTCTAAACAGACAATCAGGTTTCATAAATGGCTTTGGAAACAACAGCATTATAAAAATGTCAGTCCCTGAATGAAATCCATTCCCTGATGGGTGCCCTTGCAATCTCCAGTTGCCAGTCTAGGGGTGAAAGGGAATCACGGAGGGATGCCTACTTGTGGGCTCTTGTGTATAAGAATCATAGCTGTCAACTTTTCCCTTTTCTTGTGAGGAATCCTACTTGGAATAAGGGAATTTCCCTTAAAAAAGGGAAACGTTGACAGCTATGATAAGAATGGGGGAGCTCTCTGAAGCTCTTGGTGAAAGCTGCCTTCTAGAAAAGCTACTTTACCCAGTAGAGGGCCTTGAACAAAGTTTAAAAAGGTGTGATATTTATGTTCTGGAGTAGGGCAAGTAATAAGGGTTGACCAACTACTTCTTATTTGTTTCATACTTCAAAGATAGCCATGTTGGTCAATAGGGAAAAAAACTCAAATTTCACAGTGTGGTGACATCTTTATTAGGACCAACAAAAATGTCATAAAAGTGAGCAAGGTTTGAGTTCTCCAGAACTTTCCCCCAGGCAAAACAGAGTGGAGAGAAAAAGATGGCATGATGTTAAAGCCACAATATATGTCCTTTGAAACTACCTTAAGAAGGAATACAGGACTTGTGAAGACTTGATTAGATTTTAGTAATTGCTAGGTGTTAAACAGTTTTTCAAGATACACTAAGGTGTACTGGGCCAATGAAACAAAAAATGGCTGATTCCTCATTCAAAACAAACAAACAAACATCCAGTGCTTAATCAGACCTACTTGTTCAATTTCTACAATCCCACTTTTTTTTGCAAAACATATTTGTTTCAAACATCCCCTTTATCAGCCTTAGCAGATACGAGTGACTCAGCATTTATTTACTGCAAGTTCATATTTGAGTTGTAATTAAGTAAGCAAAGACACAGTCCTATGCACACTTGCCCTCAGAGTATGTTCCCACTGAAAATCAGTGGGTTTTATTATTTCTGGGTTAATGTGCATAGGATCGGATTGTAAGCAACCCACATTTTTCTACTCTGTTGCACCTAAACTGCAGCAATCAAAACTACTCTCTCTTTTCTTCCAGTTCCAGTATGTTGCAACCTCATCCCTGCTCCTTTCTTTCTCACCTTAAAAAAAGCAAGTTTGGAGCAGAAAGCTATTTGGCATCAACTATCTCTTGAGCATCCCTGTGAGTCATTCAAAGGGGTGTGGTCCAAATGGATATTATGCCAAATATCTCAAAACCCAATAAACTTTTGGCTGATACCATATATGATTCAAGTACAAAATCACATATGTACCAAGCCAATTATAAAGTGTGCACAAATTTCAAATCTTAAAGTAGATGGAAGCAAAGGCCATATGACTTTTTCATATATGGAAATTAATTTCTTGAAACACGCAGGCTCCCTTTGTAAGGCAATGTTGTTTGTACTTTGGTATCTTTACCCAAATATAACAATATTGCACAAGAAAGAAGCCTTAGAATGAAAGGATGGCATTCAACAAAGTTTTACTCCGACAAGATTAGGGTTGCCATCTCCCCCAAAGTGAAAATCTTTGTTGTCATACGTCCGGGTTTTCCAGGACATTTTTCCGATTTGGACACCATTTTGATGATCTGGGAAAACCTGGACATATTACAGCCCTGCAGTAGATACATTGAAGTTTATGAACCTAATGTAGTTGTGTTTGTTAAATTTCAACGCACAGAACTTAGTTGAATGCCACCCAAATATGTTGATGTTCCTACTAATGCAGATTGGATTCTGCTGCTAATACACAACATGCCATACTCATAAACCAGGCCCCCTTCCCTTCAGATAGCATTCTTCAATCTCTCCGCTACTAAAGTGGGTTTTTTCCCAAAATCAAGGTTATTTCGTAATTTTTATTGAGTGCAATTTTCAGTTTTTAGTACAATATTTTTTTGAAAGTTACTGTTACAAACTCTGACAATTTTGACACAATCAACAAGTTGAAAGGGGATGAGGGAAATGTACAAGAAGGCGCAATCCTTTACAGACATCTCATTGGCTATGTACACGGCGGGGCCTCTGTTGGCTGGGACAGTGCATGCTACTGCGGGAGGACTCTTCCTTCCTCTGCTCATCGGGATGGAGCATGTTCTTGACACGAGAGCTTGGCATCATCCTCAGGAGGTCACAGCTCATCTGAAGGGCATGGCCAGCTTGCCAGCGGAAAACAAGGACAGGTCTGCGGTGGTAAGCTTCGCTGTCAGGGCTGGCCTCTTTCCATGTCCTTCCGGCATCAAACAGTGGCATAAAAGTGTTCCTGAAACAACAGCGGGCAGAAACGAGAACAAGAAGAACAACAAAGGGTTAGCTTTTTAGTTTTTAAATCATGCACACTCTTATAGCATTGTGAAGGCAGACATATTGATGGTGGAGGAGGAAAGAGGAGTCCTATCTGTTCGTTGTCACCTATTAATTTTCACCTATTACGGTAATTTTCATCTATAATTAATCAAAGTTTTATATTGGCTAAAACGATGGCAATTTTTAAAATGAAGTTATTTATTTAATGTATTTCTATGTTCTTTCCATCGGATTATAGTTGCAGAAGCTTCTTGCTACTGCTTGGGAACTACTACATTAAGTACTACTAGCCAGTGCAGCTACCCACTATGCAGAGGTGTTTGAGGGTTCTGGTACAACTCTATCAGAATATATGCCATCATTATTTCTTCTGGGACATGAGATTCCTTTTATAAGCCCTGCCACAGCTAACTAGCTTCCCAGGAGATCTGTGGTTTTATTGGTTCTGGAAATGCTGCAATACTGCCAAAAGGTAGTTCAGAACAGTTTTCATTGTCTTTAGAGCACCTCTAGGGTCTCCTGTCCCTGAATTCCATTTTTTATCATTCATTGTATTTTAATAAATTTCAAAAATTTCACATATACATTCCAACACATAAAAACTTGTTATTGGGTTTATTTCAACTTCCCCTCCTGTTTTCCATGGTGTTTTTAATTTCTCACCCTTGCTGCACCCTATCACTTGTCCCTGAATTCCTGATCGGCTGGCAAGATCTGCCATCTAAACTCACCATTATATTGCATGCAATATACTGGAACAATACGAATGCGCACACATACACACCGAGTCTTTATCTTGTCATCTATGCCTTCTGTCTGCTCTACTCTAGCCTACCTTTTCATTTTGAATGAACAACGTTCCTACTAACTTTTTCCAGAAATCAGCACGGAGTCAAAGGAAGTCCTGACCCAAATGCCTTTAAAACTGGTATCTTGAACCCAGCTTTGGAGTTTCTAGCCCATGTGTCTTCTTGACACCTTTCCCATCAGCCCAAAAATAAACTACAATGTTTTCTTGTGCACTGAGAGTTGGGGCTAAGCCAATGCTCTGTGCTCATGTAGGAGAATCAAGCTCTCAATGACAGCATCTCTTCACACTGATCCTGTCCCTCTCCCCATTCTTTACTTTTTTTATCCGTTATACTTGGGGCAGGAGGAGGGCAAAATCAACAAAGCTCCCTATATCATCCTCAGCCTCCCTGCATGACTTTTCTGTGATTGTGCTATTAAAGCAATCTGTAAAGGGTGAATAATATTACAGCAATAACATACTTGGCCCTCAGCTACATTGATTTCTTTTCATGTTTCATTCGTAGGAAATCAGGTGTGGGGGGGCAATATTTCCCCCCCTTTCCCTTTTCTCTTCGGAAATACTGTGGTTTTCCTTGACCGCCCCTCCTCTGGTTTGATGCTAGGCAGAGGAAATTACCCCTTGCCTCCACTCTTTGCTACAGATTAGCTCCAGCTCTTGGATATGTTTGCTGAAATCTATGCCTCTAGGCAGTAGAGTTAATAACAGGAGAATTGACACCTCTATTGCCCTAATGCCAGCATGAGCCATAACTTTAATAAAACAGGGTTTGCTTAATGTTGCAGCAGTAATAACCCCTGTCCAAGGTTGCCTCCTTCCCCCTTTGTAATTCTCTCAGAAATGGCGCAAAAATGGCCTGCATTTTACCAAAAGCTCTGCATTGCTTTGGTGCCCACCTACTCCTCAATTTCAAGTTTGTGATGGGGCTTGAGAGTAAATAATTTGTAAAATGGTTTAGGAAGTGCAAACACCAATTTGCATGGATTTTGAGAACCTTGATTCACCACATATCCCTTGCTTCTGGATTAAAGGGGTGAAGAATAATCCTTATGCCAGGAACACCAGACAGATAATACAGATGTATGCACCAGAGAACTGAATGCTGAATTATCTGTTAGCCTTGCCCTGACCCACTTGTGCCAGGCCGTCTGCCTTTTTCATTCTTTTAAGCCCTGCATATAAGGTGAAGAGCTGTAGCTCAGTTGTAGAGCTCAAACCATGTGTGCAAAAGGTCCCAGGATTGATCCCTGGTGCCTCTCTCCAATCTCATACTCTGGAGAGCCACTGTCACTCAATGTAGATAACACTAAGCTAGGTGAGACTCAATATAAGGCAGCTTTCTGGGAGAAAAATTAGACCAATGTGCTGGACAAATGCAGAATGGGTGGCTCTCCTAAGGAGTTTTCGGCACAGATGATTAAGGTTGTCTCTTAAAGAAAGAAATGGTGCATCATCCGCTTGTGTAGTTAGCCCTGAAAAGAGCAGCAAAGGGTTGCCTGTTACCCATGCCGTAACAGAGAAGTGTAGCCCAGCAGCAAAATCCCATTATTTAGCCACGTCAGGGGGGCAAAGATACTTTTAATATACAATTGCACATTGGAAACATAAAACCGCCACATTAAATAGCAAAGCAATTGACCGCTGTGTCCCCTTGCCTAGCTCCTGATAACTAGGGGCTGCCAACACAATTATACTGGGGCTTGTGTTCCACCATCCTAACTTACTGAAGCTTAAAAAATGTCCCTGCTGTGCCTGACATTTTGCTTCTCTTAAAATTCATCATCTTTTGGAATCAAATCATTTTTGCAAACCTAGGTAGTAATGAAACTTTTATTTATTAATCTGGGATTCACAAGGGGGAGAAAAGGAGAAAGGGGGAGGGCAGAAACCAGTCAGAGAGAAATGCAGAACAGGGAAGCTTGTGGAAATTACCCGACAGGGAAAAAGATAAGTGCGTATGATAGGGTTAAACAGGCAAAGCTTAACATGAATAAAATCTCAACTGAAATCAGTATGATTTACTTCCAGAGTTTAGAAGCAGGGTGAAAGGAAGACATGAGTGTAACAGAGGATAGGTGTAGAGTCTGCAGAAAGGTATGCCAGATGGAGCCAAGCATATGAGAAACTGAGTTTTACAACCCAATCTAAACTGGAAAGTACATCCTATTGCTTTCAATGAGACATACTCCTAAATACATGTGCACAGGAAAAGATATCCATCAAGTAACAATGAATTGTCTACGGGTGGCGCTGTGGGTTAAACCACAGAGACTAGGACTTGCCGACCAGAAGGTTGGCAGTTCGAATCCCTGCGACGGGGTGAGCTCCCATTGCTCGGTCCTTGCTCCTGCCAACCTAGCAGTTCGAAAGCACGTCAAAGTGCAAGTAGATAAATAGGTATCGCTCCAGCGGGAAGGTAAACGGCGTTTCCGTGCACTGCTCTGGTTCGCCAGAAGTGGCTTAGTCATGCTAAGGAAGCTGTACACCGACCCGGAAGCTGTACACCGGCTCCCTCGGCCAATAAAGCAAGATGAGCACCACAACCCCAGAGTCAGCCATGACTGGACCTAATGGTCAGGGGTCCCTTTACCTTTACTAGTACCTGTATAGTACAGGAACCCCTGAAACTATTATATATCTTGGGGTACTCTGAACTCAGCCAACTGAGCCTCACTGCACTCCTGCTTCTAAGGCTGCCCCCCACCAACATCAAAGGCAGGATACAGATTTTGCCTCCCCTGCAATGGTGTCCAAGTGCAGCACTCTCCCCCATAGAAAGGAATGTCATCCATTCACTTACATGGAGAAATAAAAAATCAAAAGTATGTGTTCAGGAGCTCTATCCCGCCCTTTGCCTTTGGTAATACCAGTGAAGATTTCCCCCAACTGCATTTCAAATTACAGCCGGTTTATTGTATCTCCTAGGGCAAAATGGGAATCAATGATGATGATTTTGCATTATTTATGTACTGCTATGAATCTCTATGGTGCATTACAAAGCATAAGAAAATAAATCCTTGTCCTCCCCAGACACCTTACAAATTAAAAATTGACACAGGGGAGGAGAGCACTGCATATAGGCACATGCAAACAGGGAAGGATATGGGTTTATTTCAGTAACCCATACTTAGGAGTAGTTACAGTGCATTGGGAGGACCAGGCAAATGTGGCTTAATTGAAAAGATGGGTTTTGAGGAGAGATCTGAAGAAAGGAAGAGAGGCAGCATCTTTCAGATGTTCTGGGAGACAGTCCTGAGCTTAAAAGGCATCAAGAGCAAGCAAATTCATTTGAGGGGGCAGAAGATTTTTAGATGGCTAAATAGTGACGGTCACAGGCAGGGCTGCCACAGGATATGATGCGACCAGAGAGATAAGAAAGGGCAGTGAGAGTGTAGAGGGCTTTGAAGACAAGAACAAGGAGTTTGTGCTTGATCTGGGAGAAGGCCCAGTGTAGGGATTTAAGGAGGGCAGAACCATAAAGGAGATGAATGGTTTTGGCAGCAAAGTTCTAGACAGAAGGAGGGGGGGACTGAAGCAAGACAATGAGTGGACCAGAGTGGAGACAGTAGCAGTTGTCTAGGCGAGAGTTGACCTAGAGTAGTCAATGAAGGATACAAGGGGAGGAGATTGCAAAGGGAAAATCAACATGACTTGGCAACAGTACGACGGCAGGCGCAGAAGGGAGAGGAATGAAAGATAAAGCCAAAGTTTCATTCCTGGACAAGAGGAGGGTAGGTGGTGACATTGTTAACAGATACAGAAAATGATCTGAGGAGAGGTGGAGTGCTTAGTATCAGTATGAGACATTTACCCTCGGACATGCTAAGTTTAGAAATCAATGAAATGTCAAAGTAGAAATATGAAGCAGTTGGAGATGCAGAACAGGAGGGAGACAGATCTGGACCAGAGAAGTGCAGCTAGCTGTCATCAGCATGTAGGCAGTACTGAAAGCTATGGGATTTTATGAGGACATTCAGGGCCGCTGTGTCAAAGGAAAACAGCAGAGGGCCAAGAACAAATATCTGATATAGCCATGAAGAGGATGTTAGAGGGGAGTTTCAGGAGGGTGCAGAAACCAGATTGTAGGGGTCAGGAGAGGAGCTGGAGGAAAGGAAGTTGAGACAGTGGAAGTAAGCAACAAGCTCCAGCTGTTTGGAGACAAAGAGAAAAAGGGAAATTAGTTGGTAGGTGGACAGAAAGGAAGGGCCAATTTATTATTATTATCTTTTAAGGACAGAGGAACCTGTGGGATACTTGAAAGCAGCAGGAAATAAGTCAGAAAGCAGAAAGAGGTCGATAATTTATATGGTGGAAAGGCAGGAGAATGGAGGGGCAGATTGCAAGAAAGGACAGGGTGAAGGAGGCACAGGAAGAGGTGGATTAGGGGTGAGGTGAAAACCGAGCCAGCTCCTATCTGCCTCTGCATGCCTCTGTAAAAGAGGTGGTTTTTATACATACAATGTGAACAGATTCTCAGGTTTCTAAGACTATTCCTTGCTGATAGCAGTAGCAGACATAATAATCTATCCTTGAGCTCAGACCTGCAGCCTGGACAAGACTGTTCCACAAGAGACTATGATATAGCTAACAGTGATAAAACTACACTACTGAGATTTATTTGAGATTAAATGGTCCAATAAAAGTACAAAATGTTGTTAACACATCATATAATCTCTAGGCCAAACAGCACCCCCTGCTTCAAATCTTCATGTAGCGGAAGCAGCGCTGCAGAATGGTGCACAGATGTTGTTACCCGGCTCCATTGTAGAGTCAGTGTGGCTTCTGTGCCACAGTAAATTACAAGGAAAGGAGGGGAATGCCGGCTGTACAGATTGAAAACATGCCTGCAAATATGGAGTAATTCTGGAATAGGGTAGGCAAGATGAAAGGGTGGGGAGAGTAAGAAGCCAGAGCAGCCACTGTTGCCTCTAATTGTTCATACAAGCACTCCCTGGTTAGTTGCCCTAACAATGTCATCTCCCTAGGGAATCCCAATTGTCAGCTGAGTGCAGTTTCACACTTCACAGGGAGGATAATTTGACAGCCACAATTAACTCAAATGGGGCTTTGATTCTATGAAGGGAGGCCATCATGTGGTTAAAAGTTATATATAAAAAAACAACTGTTAACACTGCTCCCCACCAGGTGTGTATGAGACAAAGCTCATTAATTTCCAGAAGTACTTGAGAGGGAGAACACAGAGCAAAGACACAAAGGAAACTGCAGTGTGGAACAGACTCCCCTTGGCTTTTGCCATGACGGATGCAGAGTACAATTCAAAGTTCTGGGAGAGGCTGAGCATCCCCTTGGCAGGCAGTTGACTCATTCCTCCTAGCAGAATGTGTGCCAAGAGGAACATGTTCAAGAGGGCCAAGAATAAAAGAATCAGCACAGCAAATATAGAGATGAGGTTATTCTGGATGGCCTCATCCTATTGTGACTCTTTCCCGTGAAAAGGCAGGCTGCACAATCCCTGCACGTTCAGACTACATGGAATGAACTGAGGAGGAGGGAACTGGATTGCAGCAGTAGGCCCTGCTTCCACACCCAATCCAAATATTATGCCTCATGCACCAAGCCTAAACAGGCACTGGCTCTCTGTGCAATCTGAGGACCTGTGAAACTTCACATATTCAGGCTGCATATGCACAGGCTCTGTGAACTCAAAGCCAATGCAAGAGAAGAGTTTGGCGCTGACCTCTGCAATCCCACTCACCCTGCTGCATGTTCAATGCACACTGACTGTAGTGCACATAGCCAAATTAAGACCTCCCTGAGGTTCAACTACAAAATTCATTACAATGGATCTTGCAAGATGACAAAAATCTCATGCACCAACCTCTGAAAACAGAACTTTGACAAATAGGATTTTTAAATGCTTATTGCATTTGCCCTCACATTTTGAGCATGTGGCTCTTCTTCTTTTTTTTACTGTGGCATAATTGAGGCTGATAGAAAAAGAATCCATGGCAGGGAATCTCAAGCCCTTTCCCACCTGTCAGTTCTCTCCTACAACCTCCCCTCTCACCAATGGGAATGCCCTGTGCAGATGGAAATGTAGGTCAAGAACATTGCTGGGAGAAAGTGGTGAGCAGAGGTCATTTCCCCCACTTTCTGCAGCAAATCACTTTCTTCTTGCAAATGAGAAGAATAGGCTGGGTTTTGGAGACATGTTAAAATCTGCTCTCTTAACCCTTTGACATTTCGTGGAATTTAATCTAAACTTTACCTTACAATCTACACATTTGCATCTCACTACTATTTAAGAACTGCCAGGAATGTTTACTTTGGGTTTTATTTTCTCCTCTAAACAAGTCATAAAACTATTAAGAAACATTCTGTATGAACTAAACTAGGCAGCCCTGCAGTTCCTCCCTTTTTATTTGTTGAATAAGATATGCTCTGATATGACTCAGAATTACTAAGGAAGGGAGCAACAAATGAAGAATCTTAAGACTGGATACAGTAACCAGATTTGTTCTCCACTTCTCTGCAATTTTCAGTAAGTCAACAGCCACTCTAAAATTGATGAGTTCCTAGTACTTTAGATTCCATAATATCTGGAGAGTCTGTGAGATTTAACAGTAATCAACCATAGATCATAGACATGATGAAAAGAATTTGCAAATAATTCTTGCTACTCTCTATTTTTCCCAGTGTGTGTGTGTGTGTGTTCTAATTTGCTACAAATTCAATGCTTTCTTCCTAATTACTGGACTCACTTTCGCCCTAAAAATGGCATTATATGCTTGCTTTGATAAAAACTGGGAAATGTAAGGAAAGTAACTAGCACTATCAGAAATGCAACCATTACACCAGACCTTGGAATGTGAGCTAGAATAGTCAGGTGGCCTTGCTATAGGCTGTTAGCCAGGTACGAAACTCAGAGCATATGGGAGAAAAGGGAGATGTTTACTAGAGCACACTATCACACAAAGCCAATGGGCTCCACTTGAAGTATGCTTAAAAGGAAGTCATGGTGTCCATCTGGTCTTTCCTTTAATGTTGAACATCAGGATATCTTGCTCCCTTCAGACTAAACCAGTGCATCTATTCAATGGAAGAATGGGGAAATCGTGGAGGGGGGGGGATGTGTGCAAATCCCAAATTCAGCTCTATTTGCCCCTTCCTAAAAAGTTATTGCAAAAGTTTGTTGTTGTTGTTTTAAAAAAATTCTGAAAATACTATTATTTATTTAAAGATGGGCTAGTGGTGTCTTGTACCAATTACTCATCTTCCTGATAGTCTTTGGAAATCACAATTTGCATTTTAGATAAGAAACTCTCCAGGCATCCTCCTCCTGCAACACAGCTCTTGGCATGGGCTATATTTCATGCTGTCAGTCCCACTCATTGCTAATTAGCATGGAGAATTGCAGTGATGTTAACCATAATTTTCATCCCTTCTCCCCACCTTCAAAACAAGGGCTTGGTTACCTAATGAGACCCCTGAGGATAATCAGAAAGAAACAGGGACAAATTCAATCATGGTGCAGCCCTGGTAACTTCAGTGCTATTACTAGCAGAGGGAAATAGTTCTAAAGGGAAAAAATAGACACAATACACCAATGGGAGAAATAAAAACTAAGGGGGAAATTGTTATTTTTTTAAGTTATAGAAGGAGTAATTTGGCATAATATGCAAGAGCACAAGATGAAGACTGGACATTTGGTAGCTCTGCCATTAAATTTGGACTGGACATTTGGTAGCTCTGCCATTAAATTTGGCCACTGGGTCTCTATTTGTCACACTGAAATTTCAGCTTAAAACGGGGGGGGGAAATGCTTATGTATTCAAAATGGATTTTCCCAGTATTTTAGAAATATCACACCTGACTTTAAAACGTATGAGATAAGAACTATTTGGTCAATAATGATGATAAGGATATGCTATATAATTTCCAAATGGACTTTTAACTTCCTCATATATGAAACTGGGATTTGGAGTCTGGTTACATGTCGCAATCACCACCTGAGAAGTAGCCAGGGTGTGACTATTGAGTATCTGAGGCAGGGTTCCCCAGCCTTTTTGGCCAGAGAGCACATTTCAAAATTTGTGGGATTGCGGGCAGCACCAGTCACACAATAGCTGCTAAGAGATGTGTGTGGCATAACACTAAAAGAGAGCGACAACTACCCCTGACAACCTTAGGCTTACCATGGGAAGTCAGCTATGTCTTTGCTGGTCCTGAATCACACAGTATTGATTTTGCATACACACTGGTGCTGTTGCTGTCTAATAGCAGCAAGGAGCACTTTTCAGCACCAGAATGAATACACACACACGGTGGCCATGCCTTACTTTTATTTCACAGAAATCATTTAGAAGGTTCCTGTACATCTTGCCCCATAACTTTCTTTAAAAAAAAAAAAAAATCCTTCCAGTAGTAAGTACTTCCTAAGAAGTAAGCTATAATTTTATAGTTCTAGTTATAGGTAGATTGCCGTGTTGGTCTGCCATAGTGGAAACAAAATAAAAAAATTCCTTCCAGCAGCACCTTAGAGACCAACTAAGTTTGTTATTGGTATGAGTTTCCATGTGCATGCACACTTCTTCAGATACCATGCACACGAAAGCTCATACCAATAACAAACTTAGTTGGTCTCTAAGGTGCTACTGGAAGGAATTTTTTAATTTTGTTTCGACTACGACAGACCAACACGGCTACCTACCTGTTTCTTTCCAAAGTGTTAGAAAAAAGGAAAGTCAGAGTCTGGGCCCCATGCTCAAGGGCACCCTTGAAAGCCTTCATGGGCACATGGCACCCACTGGCACTGGGTTGGCAACCACTGATCTAAGGGCACCCTCTGGACAATCAGCAGTCAAGGACACCTTGGAGTGACATCATTCTTGGTGTCATGCTCAGAGACCAGGAAACCCTGCTGACTAACAGGCTTTGTCTTTTCACTATCTCATTCTCTGCTAGCTGAATAGTGATAAGGAAAAAATTATCACCAGCAGTGCCTTGCTTTCACGTAACTTGAAAGCAAACACTTCCAGTTTACTCACGTTCTCGTGGTCTAGAAGGCACCTTTAGAATTCTCAGCTGCCATAACTGGTCTGCCTCTCATGTGATGAGTGTAAAATGCAGCCAATTGCACAGTGACAAAACTGTCCTGAGGTCTTATATACCGTATTTTTTTCATCTATAGGATGCCTCCACATATAAGATGCCCCCTATTTTGGGGGACTCCAATTTAAGAAAACGGAGGGAGATGTATCCGTGTATAAGAAGCCCCCCAATTTTTGACATTATTTTTTAGGGAAAAAACCTAGTCTTATACACAGGAAAATACAGTACTTCCTTCAGACCTACAATCAATGGTTTGTTCTGTGTCCCATGTGTTAACCATCCCTATCTTCATCTTCACAATTCTCCCTTCACATTTCCCCCTCTCCCTCAGTAAATTAATACAAACATCCATATTGGTCTGCTGTTGGGTCACAGAGATGTGACTTAAGCCGTATAATGAAAGCTTTCTTATGAAAATGATTTATAGCTTTTTGTCATCATCTTGTCAGATGACCCATTTTCAAGTCTGTTTCTTGAATGTATTCTGTTTGATTTCACTTATTATGTTGTTTGGTCCTAATTGAGATTTTGTACACCACATAGACATATCTTTATATGAGTCTGTGGTATAGAAATGAAATAACAAGAGCATAATAAATTTTGGGGGGAGCTCCTATTTTCTGCAAAAGGGCAAACATCCCCACCTATTCAGGCAATTGCCAGAGATTCAGCTTCTTCAGTTATTTTATTTATTTCATAACATTTATACCCTGCTTGTTAAAAAAAAAACCTACCTCAAAGTGGTTTACAAAACAAGCATTTGCAGGTTCTAAATATGCCCACTTGAAGCTAATCTTGAACGTTTCTGAATAAGGGTTAGGTTTAACAGCTAAAAGTATATTGGATGGTATTCAACTATGCTTTACTCAGAGTAGGTCTACTAAAAATTGAAGAACCAAAGTTAGTCATGTTCATTGATTGTAGTGGGTCTCCTATCCTATGAGTAATCCATAGCTGAATATCTCCCACTGGCAGAGTGTGGGGAGAGAAAGAGAAGGACCTAAAAGAGAGAAGTGGTGATAGGAAAAGCTTGAATATGTATAATTGTGGTGATTTCTTATTCATGCACCATTGACTGGTAGAATCTCCTTTCCACCTCTTTCTTTTGATGATGAAGAAGAAGAGTTTGGATTTGATATCCCGCTTTATCACTACTCTAAGGAGTCCCTAAGCGGCTAACATTCTCCTTTCCCTTCCTCCCCCACAACAAACACTCTGTGAGGTGAGTGAGGCTGAGAGACTTCAGAGATGTTTGACTAGCCCAAGGTCACCCAGCAGCTGCATGTGGAGGAGTGGAGACGCGAACCCGGTTCCCCAGATTACGAGACTACCACTCCTAACCACTACACCACACTGGCTCTCCACCTCCCAGCAAGGAATCTTGTTGTTTATAACAAGCAATTAAATATGGAGTAGAGGAGTACATGGACTAGCTTTTTTACTATTTTTATGACTTTTTTGACAACGAATTTTCTGCTTCAAGGTCTAGGGAGTCTTCTGTAAATTTTCATCCACTGTTCAAAATAATTTGGAAGGCTGCCAGGCTGTTACTGGAAAGTTTCCATCTTGGCAAGTTCTTGTGAAAGAGAGCCCCCAAATCAGATTATGACATGCAAATGAAGAACATCTATGTAGATCGTCTTCTTTTGCTCACTCAGAGCTTTAGAGGGGAACCAGATGCAAAATGCCTAGTTGCGCAGCACGAGTTGTGATTTAACCTATGATCAGAAAAGTAAAGCCTTTTACATTTTACAAATTGATTTGCCTGCTACCGAAACACAAAAATAGGCCCAGAGCAGGGAGCTGGTTCACATTAAGATTCATTCGCTACAGTTAGAAAGATGAATTTTTAAAAGGAAGCCCTAAGATTTGACAGCTTTCCAAGTGAACACATTGTAGTTAAAACTTATTAGGAGCATTTGCAGATCAAAGGGAGAATCTACCTTGCTTTCTCAAATTGCAAATGTGTAGCTTGCAGTTGCAAATCAGCAGCAGTAATCATAGTAATTCACCCAAAACCATAATGCATAAATGATGCTCTGTGTTCCCTGTCCCTGCCAGCTGGAAAACTCCTACAGCATCAGAATCAGCTACACCCTCCAGTTTCTCTGCCAACACATTGTATTGCAAACATTATTCCTCCAAATAGTGGGAAGTCTGCCCGATTATACCTTGTGACGACAGGAAACGGTTGGGTTGTGCACCTGTCTGTTGCAGACCAAGTTCTCATGATCCTGGAAGAAAACTATTTGCAATTATAAAAAATAAAAGCAATACTTCTGGTGGGATTTTAAAAAAACTAATTCTCTAACTTTTTGCCCAACTCTGCTCAGAAAGAAACTACTGAAATATATAACCAATGCATTGTTCACACACAGTGAGAAAATAGGTGCAACACTACCAAGGTTAGCAGGTTTAAAAGGGGAAGGAGGATATGGTACTCAAGACATCATTGTACAGATTTTGGGGACATGTTTAATGGATGCAAAGGAATGAATAGGAAACAGCAATCATTCTGCATGTGCTTGTCTTTGATCTGCAACCAGCTCTAAGAGTGCTGGATCTCAGATATATATGCCTATATAGATCTACACCTGCAGCTCTTGGAGCCCCAAGAGAAGGCTATTTCTCTCAAACTGTTCCTGGTAGAACTTACTTAGTGACAACATTGTAGTCAAATTGCCTCCGGTGAGGCCTTCTGCTCTGCTGAACCCTTAGTAAGTATAGCTAGGCTGCTCTCGTTTCACTTGATGGTCTAGTGAAGTAGGAAAAAAAGAAACAGGAACTGGGAAGGCAAAAGGTCAAGGGTGGTGAGGGTTTTTTAAAACAATAAAGGAGTGGAAGAGATACAGTGGACTGGGAGAAACACACAGAAATATAAGAGTCTGAAAAAAGGTAGGAAATGAGGATATGACCAGAAGGGCAGATCTGTGAAAGGAATAAAATTCAAGAGACAGTCCAAACAGAGGGGAAAGGTGGATGGGAGCTGGTAAAGTAAGATCTGAAGATCACATTGATTAAAAGCCAACCTTTGGCTTCTGGTTTATATTTCAACATAAATAGGAAACTGTTCATGCCAGCCTTCCTCAAATCCCACTACTTTTTTTTCAGCCCAGATGTTTGATGGAAACAATGGTATGAAGAAAAAAGTTCTGATAATTTACAGATTACGAAAATATCTGTACTAGGAGAGAAATTCCACACAAAAAATAATAATAGCCATTTCTCACCCCATTCATTCTCTACCCATGAATGAAAATTGTCCTTTCATAAGGGGAAAAAAAGGGAAGGTGTGCATAATATTAAAATTGTTGATTTCAATTATATTCATGGGTTACTCTACCCAATGGGTGAAATCGTTATATCCCACACCCCCATGGGTCAAACTGATAGGTGAGGGGGCCCGCTCACCTGATAATCACCTGACATCACAATGACATCAGGTGACTTTTTTTTTTTTTAGCTTGCATGGTTTGAAAGCATGCCACAAGACCAATTGTGGAGAGTTTTAGAATGTAGAACTGATCAGCAGTGCCTGGAAACCCTTTAAGGCTGATCCAGGTCTTTATATGCCCCACACCTGATGCCATATATGACATCAGATGTCAGGCAGGTGAGCTTGGCCAAAATGATCTCCCAGGCCAATTGGAGAGGTTACTGGACCAAATTAGGCCCATGGGCCAGAGGTTCCCAACCCATGATCAAAACTCTGGAGCTTCCTGATTCTACTTACAAGAAGAAATGTTCTATCACAGGGACAGCCAATATGTTTCCTCTACAACAATTCCCATCAGCCCCAGCCAACACAACATGGCCAATGGTTCAGGATAATGGGAACTGTAGTCCACAATATCTGGACCACCACTTTGGCTACCCCAGCTTGATCAGTACGGTAAGAAATGCCTATACTTATTCAGAGTATTTCTGTTCAAAAGCAAGAAGTGAAAGCTTCTGTATGCATCAGGCATTGGATCCCTCCCTCCTGTCTACAGCAAAGGCATAAATAACACAAGTCTCCACAGCACAAAGTACCTGATGACTTGTAGGTCATGGATGTCGTGCACCAGGCTACTTGCACAACATGCTGCAGGAAATAATTCCACGATGACACATCGGTAATCATAAACTAGCACACACTATCCAGGTCACTGGGGAGCCTAATCCTTTGTATACCTAAGAGTGACCCATCAGTGAAAGCTGTTACTCAAGAGATGCGATACAAAGCAGAAAAAGAACGGGGGGAACAATTAAATACAGTCCTAAGCTGCTGCTGTAGCCTGCAAAGAAGGATCCTGGAGAGCTTTAAAGCACAAAGGAGGAAAGAAAAGGTTTTCTCTTTTAAAAATTGGTACATTAAATCCAGGGAAAGCTGACAGGCTGAGAAATAATGGCCCGAGTTTACTCTTATTTAAAAACTGGCTGCCTGCTGCTTTCGCTGCGATCCCCACTCAGGCTTTCAGCACCATTTCAAATTAAATATACATAAGTGCTTTCAAAGAGCTGTTAATTTGAAGGTCATTAAAGAGCATAAAATATATTTCCTTTATTTATAAAGAGGCGCATAATAATGCTATGCATATGGACTCCTCTCTCCCTTCCTGCAGTATTTATTATCTCCGATATGAAAGCGATTGACTTCCCTTGGCTACCAGCTATGCACTCTGTCATCCCCATTTGAATTACTGTTATCACAAAGCAGCCTCCCCCCCCCCTCCTTTGTAACTCTCCCATCACTTGGCCTTCTCTGGATCATAGAACACAAAGGGGGGGAATACAGGGAAGCAGAAAACGCACTAGAGCAGCCCAGGCATCTGCCGGGAGGGAGGGTGGGCACTCAGGATGAGGGAGAAACCCTGCAAGTCAGGTGCATACTTGTGGCTAAATGGCAAAGGTACCAGGTGTTCCAGCCTCAAGTGCCACTTAATGCATCCCGGGTCAGTGCCCCAGTGTGCCACAGCTCTGCCAGGTCTGTTGCCCCTACCCCACAGCTATGGTTATGGCTCTGTAGCACTCAGTGGAATTGCAAACAGCCATTTAGCAAACATTGCACCATCTGCCCATATCTGTAAGGGGCATTTTAGCACCTTTCCCTGCTCATTCTCCCTTGTTTGCAAACAGCAGCCCTTGCAAACCTTTGTTCCGTGACCTCCCTTCCGCCCCCATCTTGGCAGGGCAACCCCCTCCTGGCTGCCTCCCTCCCAACCTCTCTGCCCTGCTCTCCCTTCTTCCTTTTGCCACAGCTGTCTGCTTTAGGAGATAAATTACCTGGTGCTCAACAGCTTGTCAGCATTCTCACAGCTTATCCACTACATGGGAGGAGGGCCGGGCCGGGCTGGGGTGGGTGGGGAGAGAGGAGTAGGACGGGAATTTGCCGTTGCCATAGAAATGTAGGGATGAAGCTGACAATTGAAAACCATTTCATAGATTTAAAGACATGGCTGAGAACAAGGGAGAACAAGACACACTCAGTCACAGGAAATAAAGAGAAAGGTGAGATCGACAAATAGATAAATTGATAAACAGCGAGTGGAGAAAGCTGCAGACCGAGAAAAGAACAGCTTTGGGTGTGGAAACCAGGGAGTGGAAAGTAATGCTAGGGTTCCCCAAACAAGAAAGACGAAAGAAGAATAGGAAGCTAGGGAAAGTGACCATATCTTCCTAAGTCCAAGGACCTGAAATGGAGAGCAAATTTCCATAGTTTTCAGAAATTTAGATGGCAATGATTACTGATTAGGTGTTACTTCAGAAGATGATCAAAGGGTGGTATACAAAAATATGGCCTGGGTGGTGGGTGAGGTGACCATAGGTAAGTGACAAATATAAATAATACTAGAGAGAAAAAGTACTGTATCTGCAAATTAGACTAATGGCTGATTTGTAGACAGGGGAAGTCAATGTGGTGTACTTCATTTGTTGCTGTTATACTAGAAATTCCATCTTCCCTAACCTTTGGCCATGTTAGCCTAGGATGATGGGAGTTGTTCAACAACATCTGGAGAACAACAGTCCTGATACCCCTGTTTTTACAGTGCAGGAAGGGAGCACTCAGAAATCAATTCCAATGGTCTTTCTCCAGGAGACACACAGAGCAGCAAACAAATGCAGGATGCCATGACTAAGGATGGACAAATCAGCCTAAGTCCATCCCATTTCATTTTCACTGGCACTCAATCATAAATCCATTCTATACCATTTTGTATATGGATCTTTCAAATGATTGAATGAAAAGTGCACATTCAAATTGTATGCCTTATTATACAGTACGGTATATGCATTATTGAAGACATTTTTCTTTGTGTTTCCCCAATATATACTTTTCAATGCACTTTTTCTGGGTGAAATACAAGTGCATTTTAACTGTCTCCATCCTCAAAAGTGGACACTTCCATAGACAGACCTGATTCCATTGTCACATCCATGTCACCATGGATATGAGCAATTTGATCCTTAAAGTGCTTTGCAAACATGTCGCAACTGGCCTCCATATTCTGAACAGTGCCATATAAGCCAAATGGAAGACGTCCCTGAACCACCTGGAAAAACTTCACTGGATGGTACTATGACAGGAATAGAAAATAACTTTCTTTGCTGACATCACAGCCACTGAGTAGGCTCAATAATGAGCTGTGAGTAGTGTTCAAAGAAATCGTTTGCAAACCTTCTGCTGGTTGCTCTCTCTGCATTTCTCTACTTGCTTCCTAGCCCTCAGCTCTGCAGAATACTGTTGGAATGGGGCATTTTGGACAGTATTCAACTAAGCAGTCCTGTCAAGTCAAGAGTTTCCACTTGCAGAATGGGATTCTCCAACCCACCCACCCTCCCCACACCATGCACCTTTTGGAAATCTTCTCCAGAGGGTCAAGGGAACCCCTAGAACCCATTTAGGGGTGTACATGGGCAGGAGATGGAGATAACCTTCCATTGCAGAAGCAGAAATCCTTGCACTGATGGAGCATTCGCACCCACTTTGTCAGCCTCCCAGTCATCTCTGCATTCCACAGAGTGCCCATGGCATAGACAAGAGTGTGCACAACCAGCTCATCATGAGCTGAGAGCCAAAACGGACAGGCATTTCCCTGTGGCCACCAGGTGCTACTAAAAATAACCACTCAGGTAGCTAGCTGTTCAGTTCTGTCTGTGCAAGGCTAACAAACTTCACAAGTGATGCCAAGCAAGCTTTCAGAGGCATGGAAGAATATGACAAACTCGCATTAAATTAGGAACAATATTGCCAGATAGGTAGAATGGCGTATTTATAGCTTGAGTCATCATTGTCGTGCTTTTCACACCTTTGGATTTATCCTAATAAAAGCAAAAGTCATAAGAAATGAGCACAAAAGCTCCTTCAACCCACCTTGCATGAATATCAATGGACTGGTTTGGAGGATTAATATTCAGAATACACCTTTTCTATGCATGTTGTATTTGGTTTGACAACATACTTGAATACAGATTTTTGCGCTGAATACTCCAGAAGGGATTCATGACTGGCTATCAGACAGGGCTAAGAACACTCCCTTGTGTTGTTAAACAAGGGGCTTTTTTCCACTGCCTGTCTGGGGAGGCCCTGCAAGATAAAACATCATTCTTTTGCATCTTGTTAGCATCTCCTTCTAACCCGGGCTGCAGGGAACTTTCCTAATAATCAGATGGCAGTGATATAAAGAAGCCTTCAGGTCTCTCTTTTTGTGGTAATTTGCCAGAGACTGGCTGGTGCTCCATCACCCTTCCTTCTCTCTTTGCTACACATTTTCAGAGTGTCACAACACTGAAAAGTGTCAGAAAGGCTACCTAACCCATCTCTCTTTCAAATGTTAAAGCCATCCACTAACCTAACTCACACCAGCCCTGACTAGAAGGTAAGGAGTGAGAATAGGCCAAATGGTCACACTCATTGCGAGGAATTTGAATATGTTCAAATTAGGAAATCAAAGCAAGTGGAGGGAAATCCTTCCCAACCCCAAATATGGAGCTCCATCAACTCCAGAATATCCCTAAAGCAAACATTACTGAACAAAAGATCTATTCCACTCAACATCTTGCTTTGATTTGTGGCAGATCCTGATGAACCAGGGGAAGGGAGTACAAACCCACTGGGCGTGAGTTGGGGCTGCCAAGTGGACTGCTGCTGAAACATGAGCTTGAGGAGGGGGGAATTAGGGTAACCTTCATAATATTACTCAACTCTGCTTTAGAATAAATAAGTTTTATAGCTCCCACGGTGAGGCCAGAGTAGCTGTAAACACAATGGCTGATTTATGCGACGTCTGTGATGCCGCAAAAGAAGCTGTGGAATGCCGTGATATAAGAAGAGATGCAAGATATTATACGGAAAGATTAGCCTGGAGGTGATGATGATGGATAATTCTACTACACCTACATTTGCTGCATATGCACTTGCCCTCCCACCCAAATCTACAGATGGGATTATGACAGAGGTGTAATGAGCATGGGTGCAAATGACATGCTTCCATATTTGGCCCAAGAAAATCAATATATCCTTTCAGCTTTAATTCTGCGATGGTGAGAAGCTCTTTTCAGACATTCTGGGCTATCAAACACTTTTAAAAATAACATTGCCTACCTGCACAAAAATAATTCCCATTTAAATAGGTGGTGCTTTTTACACACATTTCTCTGTATGCATTGGTGATTAATATACAGAAATAGGCACATGCATGTACACACACAGAGCTGTCTAGAATTAGGGTCATGGCAGGAAAATTTGGTGGAAGAGCTGCAAAGCTCCTTTAAGAGAAAAGAAAACAGGTATGGAGACTACTACCAATGGTATATGTGCATCTTAGGGTACATTCAGATGTGGTTTATTGCATTAGTTTAGCTGGTTATAATGCTAGCGCTTCTTTTTAAACTGGATCACCTGTTGCACTATGGAATATACATAATGGAACATACCACCATATTGTGCTAATTTTTATTCACACCAGCGGGTGGCATCAGATATGTTGCCGCCCTTTATGCACATGAGGGCTTCTGTTCCCCCATGATCCACCCATGAAAATGGTGAGAAAGAACTGTATGCCAGAATACCGCCCCAAATTTCATCATGTGAGCTGTGTCGGCACAATCCATGAAAACTGCAGGGAAATTACAGCACTTTTCCCCCCTAGAAGTAATTAAAATGGAAATGAACACTAATTTTTCACTATATTTTCAGAAGTGGCCTTTATATTATATGAACGATCACATAAAACAAGTGTTGCCTGAAGGAAGCATTATTATACTATGGGATCACAATTTATAACACTGGGGCACCATACATATGTATGACTCAATGCACTGACGATGTAGATAATGTACCCACCTGCCAGTTGTCTAGTGAAGTAGTGGAATTATTTTCCTTTGAACTTAAAACATTCCCCCTCCCCCAGACAGACATCAATGGAAGATGCTTATATTTATAAGATGCTGTTTAGGGCAGGGGTTGGCCTAGATAATCCATTAGGTCTCTTCCAATTCTGAAAGCCAGCTGCATTTCCAGGTTTGCTTTAGAAAAAAATAACTGATTGCACCCATATTTTTTTAATGAAGTGCAAGCTGACAGTTGGCTGCATCCCTTAAAAAGTGACAGTGTACAATTATAACAGTCTAGTTAAAAGCCTCGTTAAGGGACAATTCATTTGCATAAACTCTTGTAGTGCCCGGCTAGCTCAGTCGGTAGAGCATGGGACTCTTAATCTCAGGGTCATTTGCACAAACTCTTCTGATTAAAGAAGGGCTACTGTTCCTTCTATAGCTAATTTGTTGTCTACTTTAAATGAGCTAAGTTAACAGAATGATAATATATAGAGGGCAAAGGGCCAAATGAAAGAATGTTAAAGAAACATAAGAGACAAGCAGTAAAGGAAAGGGATGGACAGACAGATGGATGCAGCACATGAACCTACCTCTGATGGCATGAAACCAAAGTGAATATATATCAAAATTCTTAGGTCCACACAAGGAAACTAAATATCCCCGAGTCTTCCTCTGTTGGTCCCTGGGATGCTAGATTCTACTGTTCAGTTGCCTCTACAGTTGTGCATCCTGTAACAGTTTTACACGAAACCCTTGTTGCATAGTCCACTCTTCTGCTTTCTTCCTCCTATGAAATCCTTTGCTTTCCCTTTTCTCCCCCCATTTCCTATTACACGTTCCGTGCGCAGTTGATCTAGACAGAAAGCAAAACATACCACTTCTGTTCCCCCACTGAATCTCCAGTTTCCCCGGAGGTGGTGAATTTATCATCCGTCAGCCCCACTTGGTTGTTTTCCTGCTATGGACAAGCAGTGAGTGACTCCTCAGTTAAGTTGACAACATACAGACGCACACACGCACACTCGCGGGAACACCTTCTCTCTCTCTTCTTTTCCATGAGGATTTTTTTTCCCTTTTTGCAAAAAAATGCAAGCAAAAGAAAAAAACAAGGTTTTCTATTGAAGGTACATCTCTTCTTCAATATGAAGACATTAACTGGATTGTTCTGGATCCCCCATGCAGTGGTCAGTGAAGTCCTTTGGTAACTGGTGGAACAATGCCTTGATATTCTAGTAGGTAGCTGTAGAGACTGTTGAAGAAAATTCCCCAGGGTTTATGAGCAAAACAGGGAAATGGGTGGGTGAGAAGGACTCCATCAGGAGAACGTAAGAAGAGAAGAAAAGGAACATGGTTGCTGAAGATGGTTGCTCTGGGTTGCATCTCTCTCCTTCCCACCGGCCCCTTGACTACTGCTCACTGGTGGTGGGATTAGAGTCTCTTTTCCTCCCAACACACATTGGTTTGTCTTCACTGTTTTTTTTTTAAATATATGGTTTGTACATATTTATACTTATTTATATGCTGCTTCCCATGGCATCAGTAAGTGTGCTTCTGTTGGAGAGAAACGGAAGTTGCCATGTTGAAACAAGTCCTGTGTCCTCTTCGCCTGCAGCTCCTAAAAGTTCTCAGACGATAATCCAACCTCTGCAAACATCTCACTGTCTTGTCGGCTTACCCTCCCCTCCCACATCCAACCCTCCTCTGTCCTCCCCTCTTTTTCCCCATTGTTGTAAGAAGACACGAAGCATCATGCCATCGAAGTTGGCGACTGGCTCATCTGTACTCTCATAGACTGGACACTGTTCAGGATCTTCTTCTGGTGTCCAGCTAAGGTCACCCCTATTCTTAGAAGATCTCTGCAAAAGACAAGAGACAGGATCATACTCGTGCAGTAGAGACCTTTGTCCCAAGTCTCTCCTTTGGCTATGTGGACATGATACATGGCCTGGCAAATTCAAACTGCAGTACAGGAAACTGTAGGCTGGTAACCAAAGATCAGCAATCGGTGCTGATGAAAGACATGGGATGAATGTGCATATGTTTATGAGCCAAAGTATTACTTTTCTCAAAGCCACAACAAATGAACACTTGAGCACAAAAGGATTAGGGAGTCTATTTTCCCTTTCTGCAAAGATGCTAACTGCCTAACCACATGCTCTGACACCCAACACTATGGATTCATTGTGTCTTGACCTCTAGGTGGAGGGCTACTGGGAAGATGGCAGCGAGTGGGTGAATACCTGAGAGTATAGCTTACTGGCTGAAGAGCCTTTGATGATGAATGAAGCTAATGGTTAGCATGGGAGCAAGGAACATGTGGAGGTTTTGGAGCGCAAATGAATTCTGGGAGCAAATTAATCTGGCCAAGAGAAATGGAGGCAAAGTGGTAAAGAGCTTGTGGGAGGAGACATTTGCCTTACAAGTTATGACCTGCTTCCCTTCCTTATATATTTACTTACTTAAAATGTGTGTGTGTGCGCACACACACACATTCATTTCAAAAGCAGTTCAGAAACTAAAATAATACCCAACAACAATAAAATATCCATGAAATAACAGAATTTAAATATGCCAAACAACAACAGGAAAATCAAAAGAAACAGCACAGCAATAGGCTCCATTTGAAGTCAGAAAGGAAGTGGTTCAATTTCAAAAAAATGGGGGGGGGGGGAATTGCCTGTTTTCAGGAAGTCAGCACATTCCCAGTGCTGAAGTTCTACTCTGATCCAGAATCTGCCCAGTGAATTCTTGAACCCTGGTTCCGTCTTCTCTCATCACTGAGGTAAGAACACTCATTCAATCTGTGTGCTAAAAACTGAAATGAGAATGAGAAGGCACCACTTACTCTGATGTCATTTGGGCAACTAATTGAAGGGACGTGAATCCAGCAGTCAGAAAACTGTCTCTGTACTGGTTCATTTTGATGGCGCTGAGCCAATCTTCTACTGAGGTAAAGGCAGTGAAATCAGGGATGGAGCGGTCCAACAATGGCTGAGAAGGCCTAGATCATGAGACAAACAATAGGTCAGGACGGAATAATCATTAACTATGAACTATGATAAGAAAAACAAAGGCAGTATGAGCAAAAATTGGGCAACTGAGGTTCCGCTTATTCTCCTCTCATTAGCCTACCTGGTCCTGTGACTGGACAAATTCCAACCTTCATTCAACTTTCTCTTCCATCCCATTCACTCATTGGTGCCAGATACACCTTCCCACATTTCCATGAGGCAAAACACAGGAACACCAGGCTCACCTGATGCTGCTACCAGATGACACCACTTCAGACTGAAGGATGAGGATCAAATGTCTGAATTGTTCCCACTTGTACTTTTTCTTTTTTAAAAAACAAAGTCCTCTTCGTTCAAATTCAAAACTAGCATGCCAGGGAGCTTATGTCAGAACTGCATCCTCAACAGGCCAATTTTGGATGTGCAAGAAGTTTTTCAGTGCTGGCTATGGCCTGTTTGATGCAAATGAGGACACCTCTGCTTCCCCACCCATAACTTTCCAATGGAAAGGTGGCAGTCCCATTGGCCACATAGAGTTTCTGGATGCTCTGGACAGTATAAAGTTAATTTGGTTGCAGTACTTCCTGGGCTTGGAGAATCTGTGGCATCTGCATTGGCTGCAGCCCGAGTGACATTCCCTGCCCCACTGAGGATTCATCTGGAGGGAGTGGGGATGACAAGGAGGAATGTGTTTGGTATGGAGTCCTTGGATGCTCCTACATGGTGGTCTGGTTTACACACCACACTGAACCAACCATGGCTTAGCATGACCATGGAAACATACAGGTCCTTGGAGAAGAGATATCACCCGCTTTGCCCCTCGCTGGTCATTTTGTTGCAGTGCCATGACTTGGCTGAGCATGTCACCCAAACCTGGGTTCATAGTTTAGCTCTCCCCAGACTATGAGCTGTCACCAAGGATGGTCCCATGGTTTACAGCTCATGGTTTCTCCAGGCTTAGCTCAATGCAGCAAAAGAACTAGGGAGGAATGAAGTGGCTATAGTTTCCTCTTCCACAGCCTGCACACTCACATGGCTTGGGCCATTCCTGCCACCTTCTTTTCTTCTGGGAAGTTGGGGGCAGGGGGATCAGAACTAGAACTTTAGGAGTCAGTAAACACAATGCAGGCCTCTCTGCTTTTCTTTGGGTTTGAATCACAACCTTTAACCAATAGATTATATTCTAAAGCTTGAGCTGATTCAATGCTTTAATTGACAGGAACTTTTATTGGCAGGACTCACTTAAGAGCCCACTTGATTCTATTTTGACGATTTACTGTTTTGTTATGTAACTGTACTATAGAATGAACAAGAACAACAAGTGGTAGTTTCTGTTAATTAAAATGGCAAATTGTCTCACTCTCATTTAAAAGACCCATATATTAAGTGTTTGGTAATATGCAAATGTACTTAAATAAAACTGACTAATTAATTATTTTAAAATTTAAGAGAGATTATTAATCAACTAAGTTTTAAGTTTTTGTTGTTGTTGTTTTTAAAAGCTGCTTGGCAGTTCTACTTGCAATGCCAAATATGGCTTTCAGGGCCTCAGCCACTACGCAGCAAGGCAGCTGGAAACTTACACAGCGGTGATGGTAGCCACAGTTTTGAGGCTTGCTGGATTACGGATCATTTTGTCTAGGGTGTTAACTATTTCAGCAAAGCGTGGCCGGGTGTTGCGGTCTTTCTGCCAGCAATCTAACATAAGTTGGTGGAGGGCAGCTGGGCAGTCCATGGGAGGAGGAAGCCGGTAGTCTTGTTCAATTGCATTAATTACCTACAAAAATAAAAGTGCATCGGTAAGTTAAAGAGATAAATACAAACGTTAACAAAAACAACTTGGAGGGTCATCAGTGTTTTTTTGTTAAAAAAAAAAAAGCAACAAAGGATGGGGGGGGGAATAACATTTTAACTTGAAGGAAAAACCTCCTAGACCCTTGCTGGGTGTGCCCAAACCCTTTCATTAGGATCAATAATAAGAGGTTTCATATTCATTTTAGACGGCACCTACAAATTCAGGTAGGTAGCCGTGTTGGTCTGATGCAGTCTATCTATCTATCTATCTATCTATCTATCTATCTATCTATCATTGTCCAGTAGCACCTTAGAGACCAACTAAGTTTGTTCTTGGTATAAGCTTTGTGTGCATGCACACTTCTTCAGATACACTGAAGCAGAAGTCACCAGACCCTTATATATGGTGGGAGGGTAGGGTGGAGTTTTTCTCAGGAGTGTAGTAGGAGATGGGTGATTGACTCAATGGGTATGGTAAACCTGTTGACAACTGTTAACGACTGCAATTAGTCCTACAGGAAAAAGCAAGGGATAGTATGCAAATGATTAGCATATGTAATGAGACAGGAATCCAATATCTCTAATAAGACCAGGTCTAGAAGATGAGCAATTAAATAGGCCTGAGATGGTGTGTTTGATGTTGTTGGGTCCAGTGATGGTGTTGTCTGGGTGTACGTGGCAGCAAAGTTGGCATCTGGGTTTATTCCAAGCTCTGGTACCAGTGTCCATGTTAAGTCTGCTTGCTGTATTGCTTGCTTGCAGGTCTTGCAAATTCAATTCAAGCTAGCAGTCCTCTTCCTCTACAATTGGTCAGGGCCTATATTCACTTGAGCCCTTTCCTCTACCACCTAGAGTGTACTGTTCACCAGTACGGCGGATGTGGCCTGCCTCCATACATGAGGTCAAGGGCAACTGTCCCCATTCCACCCACCAGGCATGCCAATGCTCTATCTGCAGCCAAAAGGTGCAGCAAAAGGAAGCAAGGTAGGATGCCCACTAGTCAAAAGTGTGTGTGTGTATGAATGCAAATACTAGTCATGGGGCATATAGTCCAGACTGGGATCGTGTCAGAAGGAAAAAGTTTAAGCCCCAGCATTCCCATCTGGATGGGTATCCCTTGGTGGCTGCTATTTAGCATAGAAAAAACAAGCACCCAAGGGCCCATCATGAGATTCCTATCTAGCTTGGTCGTAAGTTAGTGTTTAACTTCACACAGGTCGGCCAGTGGCAATATTATTATTATTATTATTATTATTGCTTATGTTGCTTGTTACCTAAATGGTAGGCAAGAGACTTACACTGATAGATAGATAGATAGATAGATAGATAGAGATAGATAGATAGATAGATAGATAGATAGATAGATAGATAGATATAGATAGAGAGATTAGATAGATGATAGATAGATAGATAGATAGATAGATATAGATAGAAAGATAGATATGAAATTATTTTGAAACAATAACATTCCATACAATATATGGGGTGTGTGTGTGTACAAAGAACAAAAAACAAGTCATCCCATAACAGTGACAGAAAATTCTGGCAGCACACTAACAATAAAACAAAAGGATATTCCCACCCACTAACCAGCAGAGTGAACTAAAAACTCAAATATATAACAGGAGGAGTAGTTTACCTGCCCTTGCTGCTTAGAAGAAGCTCATTTGGCTCATCTTACTAATTTACTCTCAACAGGTCCTCCCACAGTGCTCTACTAGTGAAGCTCAACCACAGCAGGAATGGCAACAAGGCTTAGAAAAGAATCTCTTTTGTTATATGGATTAAACTGTTGGGTGGTAGGAATGTGGTGAATTTAGCACTGGATTCAACCAGCTAAAACATTGCCTCTCCTCCAGAGCCGCCCTGCTCTATCCCTCCTGGGCTAAGGTATGTTCCCCACTCTCGTTTTCCTTTAGAAATTGAGTTCTTTTTCCCAGCCAGTGTTCAGAACACTAATATGGAGTAAAGGAAGAGGTGTGTGCCCTCTGCACAAGAAGCAAAGGAAACATTCCTCTCTCCGAAGGAAGCAGGGCATTGAGAGGTTAATTTGAGTTCTGATGCTTCAAGACAAAGGTAGTCCCTTCCCTGTTAGCAGCCGCCACTCTCATTATCTCTGCCTATCATGCTGGAGTGCAGGACTTCATCAAGTCTCTGTGCCTGGCTCATAAACCCTCTGAACATTTTCAAAGGCCTGCCAGGTTCCTAGTGTCCAATTACCACCACACTGGCTCCTCTTCCTCTGCTCCTCTCCCCTTCTCAGTTTCTTTCATCTCCGAAACTCTTTCTTTGTAGCACAGGTTCAAGGGAAAATAAGAAGGAATGGCAAGCTGGAGTTTGCACCTCACAGCTAGCATTTCCCAGCCTTTCTCGAGGGCCCAGCATGCATCAGCACTGGAACTGACTCCCAACATTTCCACCTGAAAATCACCAGTAGATAAAACAGGCAGCCCCAGTGCTCAGATATAAAAAGGTGTCACTGCATGGCTCAGTGTGGCTGTGTGATTAAGGAGAGACTTGTCTTCCATACTGCACTTCTACAATGTTGTAATATATAACAAACATCCTTCTTCGTGCACACAGCACACTATGGAAGGGGAAATGGATGTGCCAGTTGTTCACTGCACAGCTAACAAGGCGAGGCAAGATTGTTCGATCTTAAAAAGAAAGTGCTTGCTGAACAGCCTTAGGGCTAGGAAATGCTCTTTTGGGTAGGTAAGATCAATTAACACAACAGACATTTATCATGAATAGTATGAAGAGAATTATTATTATTATTATTATTATTATTATTATTATTATTACTATTAAAATTTATATACCACTCTTTATCCAAAGATCACAGGGTGGTTTACAGTATAAGAATGCAGTAATATGTGGTTTCTTGCTTTTTCTCATAATATAAGAACCAGGGAGAAGGTTAATACTGATTGACAAGAGATTTAGAATGAACAAGGTATTCAGAATATATATAAGGAAGCACTATCTTACCCAAGCATAGTTAACACCTAGAATTCACTGTCACAACATGTGGCGGCTGCCACTGCTTAAGTGGCTTTGTGAAAGAGAAAACTGTGGGAGATGGTTCTCTCAAGAGCTATTAGCGACACACACCAGCTAAATGGAACCTCAATGTTCAGAAGCCACAAGTCACTGAGTAACAGCTGCTGGAAGCATAAAATGAGGGAGGGCTCTTCTGGTGGGCATCATGGACATTTGAACGGGATGCTAGATTAGACGGACCTTTTCCAAAGAGTGTTGGAAGGGAGCTTGGAGTTCCTCTAGTCCAACCCCTGCTCAATGCAGGATGCAACTACAGCATCCCTCTACTAAAACTACAGCAACAGAAAACAAGCTTATGCTGTGTTCTGCATGTATGCACTTCAGATATTTGAAGACAATGATCATGTCTCCCCTTAATCTTCTCTAGACTAAACATACCTGGCTCTTTCAACCGTCTCTTATAATAAGAATAAAATTTTATTTATATCCCGCCCTCCCCAGCCGAAGCTGGGCTCAGAGCGGCTAACAACAATAAAAGTAACACAGCATTCTAAAATCAATTCATTTTAAAATCAATTCAAAATCAAATTAATGTCATCCATTGGGCTAGAGTTCTGTGAGGATTACCAAAGGAGGAGGTCAAAGGCCTGGTGGAACAGCTTTGTCTTGCAGGCCCTGCGGAAAGATGTCAAGTCCCACAGGGCCCTAGTCTTTTGTGACAGAGCATTCCACCAGATCGGGGCCACAGCCGAAAAAGCCCTGGCTCTGGTTGAGGCCAGCCTAACCTCTCTGTGGCCCGGGACCTCCAAGATGTTTTTGTTTGAAGACTGTAAGGTCCTCCATGGGACATACCAGGAGAGGCGGTCCCGTAGGTACGAGGGTCCTAGGCCGTATAGGGCTTTAAAGGTTAAAACCAGCATCATAGGACAATCTCCAGACCTCTCTTCATCCTGGCTGGTCTCCTCTGGGCATGCTCAAATTTATCAATGTCCCTCTTCAAATGTCTTTCTTCCTTTCAATATTAATTTATGTGAGGGCTACACTAACCTACATGGGCGGGGGGGGGGGATGGAGCCCAGGTAGACAGGAATGATATCAGGCAGAAAAATAATGTTGCTGTGTATGGGAAAGAAAGAGTATTGTACAAGTATATTCCATTGTCCCAACCAAGCCACTCCCTATGCAGAAAGAGAGCACTTCCCCTTAAAGGAAAGAATACACTAAGACATATTCCATACAGAAGATTTTGCTGAAAGAACAGCAGTTGACATAGCACTGGAAAACCATTGAGCAACTCTTGCTGGAAGTGTGGTTGTGAAAGATTCTTTCCACCCTCGAGAAAAACAAAAGAATATGGCTTCTGTGGTCTAAGGAAGGGGTTCACAAAACTCACATCTTGGTTGGACATGTCCCAATAGGGTCTTTCCCCAAATGACATCACTTCCCACATGAGAATCCCATAACTCCACACATCGCTGGCAGAGGTAAATTTGCGGTAGGCGATGGCTTCTGGGGCTGTCCACCTCACTGGGATCTTCCCACCCTGAAGGAGAAGAAAAGACAAGTGTTAACTATAGATGCCTTTAAAGGCCATTATAAAAATTCATAGAGGACGTGAGTATTGATGGCTACTAGTCATGTTTTATTCTGCTGACAGTTTTACATGTTGATACTACGACTCTTTTAGACATACGGTAATTCCTTAATATTTGGATTTTATATTTTGTGCCACCTTGGGAGACCTAAACCTAAAAGCGATGAAACTAACAAACAATAACTATAAAATTATATTTAAAAAATCCCTTCCAGTAGCACCTTAGAGACCAACTAAGTTTGTTCTTTGTATGAGCTTTCGTGTGCATGCACATGTATCTGAAGTGTGCATGCACACAAAAACTCATACCAAGAACAAACTTAGTTGGTCTCTAAGGTGCTACTGGAAGGAATTTTTTTATTTTGTTTCGACTACGGCAGACCAACACGGCTACCTACCTGTAACTAGAACTATAAAATTATAGCTTACTTCCTAGGAGCCTTGCACCTGGCATTGCTTGGGAATTCTAAGAAACAACAACAACAAAACCCGCAGTGCTGTTTTGCCATCAGTGGTTACAGTCAGTGCTGTTTTGAAAGGTTCCTCCATCTTGATTTAAAATGGCTTCAAGTTCTATCCATTCATAGGTGAAAACCTGCTCCTTGATCTCACAAATCATTATGCAAAATTTGGTTACAAACATATAGGTGTCCAAACATATATGTCTAAACATATAATAAACAGAGAAACAACTTTCCAAAATATATAGTAGACTAGCTGGATATACCCGGCATTGCTCAGGAATTCTAAGAAACAATAAAACACCAAGATTTGTAAATTGATTTTATTTTTTAAGTCTAATGCAGTTTGTTAGTTTCTATGACAGTGTATAGCCCCAGGGCACCAGATTAGCTCAACATGGGTCAATTCAGGAAACACCTGGATCTGGTTCTTAATCAATTGCAGGGGGCAATAAATCATCATTAGGGTTCAATCTGAGCTGGGTGCTGGTTCACCATTCCCTTTAAACTCAGGCCAGCATCAAGTTGTATGCAACCTTCCTAGTATCTGGGGAACAGGGTGGTGCTTGAGAATAATATAAAGCTGGCTACCCCTGCTCTTAATTGTCCACATTAAAAAAAAACCCAGAGCAATTGAAAGCTTAAAAAAGAAAGCCCAGTATGAATGCCAATGTCCTTGGTTCACTGCAAATCCTGACAGATCACAAAATACAAAATTTCAGAGTGCAACACTATTCCAGACAAACCAGCTATTCAAGTGCTGATGTATGGGGAGGAGGAGAATGATTTATGTTTCCTTAGGAAGTCTCAGTAGATTTTACAAAAGACATTGTTATTATTCTCCTTGGTAAAGTGACAGGTTCAGAGAGCAAAAGGAATACACCAAAGAGTAGCTAGACGGACAATGACTAGATTACAGTTGGCTTTTGAACCAGCTTGCCATATTTTACACCTTGGACCCTAGAAAGTGTAGTTTTTCCATTCTCAGAAACGTAATTCCCATGATTCCATGAACAGCAACAAAACTGGTTTAGGTCTGTGTGTCCAAGAATAAGTCTAGGTTTGTGGCTTTAGCTTAGGGATGGGAAACCGGGTGCCCTTCAGATGTTGCTAGACTACAACTCCCATCATCCCTGCCTATTGGTTGTTCTCACAGGGGTGATGAGAGTTGGAGTCCAAACATATTTGAAGAGCCACAGGTGGTTCCCATCCCTGCCCTAGCTTATATACTTACCTTGTTCCTGAACATGCACCTTGAAGGAGGCACAGGTTATTTGCTGCATGTGACGTTTGTGGTGAGAAAAATAACATTATGACATTTATTCCAGCTGCGATGTTTAAATGTAAACACTAACTAAAGTAACAAAATCTCATTCCCATGAATGCCAAGGAACATTCAAGTGTTTTGGAAAGGACAGCATGTTTCCTGCAGGGAATATGTAGGTGCTCTCACACTTACTAGTCCCAAAAGCAGACGTCAAAGGCTGACAGCAACAGCTGTTTCTCTGCACCTCTTTGCATATCAAGTAGAAACTATGGCCTTCAGGGTTTTATCCTGAGTGACACTTCCTTACCCTTGGCAGTTTTCTATTGTGGCACAGGCAAACTTCCTTTGCTTCGGGCCTCTTCCCCTAAGAAAGATGGCAAGCGAAGGGCAAGGAAGTGGAGTTGCCCTTGGCGCAAAGATGACAGCTCATCACAAATACACCAGATGAGGAGCAACACATACTTTGGTAGCTCGGTTTGAAATTATATTTGTCCAATTCTAGGAGGCAACTAATGTGGGTTCCCTTTCATTATATTTCAGGGCATGTCAGCAAACATGCCTCTCTGAGTGAGCACATCTCAGCGTAGCTACAAAAGATACCTACTGTCAGAATGTTCGGAAGGGACCTATTTAAAACCAGAAGATTGAGAATGTGCTTTTGATGTCTTAATGGTTACTACAGCAACAGTGGAGGGATTGTGTGCACAGCAGGGGACTTTTTTGAACCCTGCTCTCCTGGTTTAAATGCAGATTCCCACCAGCGCTTTGCATTTCATACAGCTCAATCAACTTCAGTTTCCCTGATCTAAGCTATACTAGTGCAGAAGTTGACAAAGTGAGTTCAAGGTGATGGTGCTGTTCATGCTCATTTGAATCTTGTTGAGTGTGTATTTCAAATATCTAGATCATCAAAGAAATGAAGATGGTAAAACCATGGTCTTGGGAAAGAAAGTGCTGGAGTAACTGGGCACCAGGGGAGAATCAGAGATGCCCAGCAATAGTAGGAGGGGTGAGCAGCAGTAGTGAGCATGTTTAAGCGTTAAAGCAAACATGTTAAAAGTTGCTATTGATATTGGGAATATTGGTAGGAACAAGGGATGGGTGAGCTCTCCAGAACCCATTAGCTGTGTTGACTCATTGTCTTGAATTGATTCTTTAATTATCTTATCTTCCCCTCACCCGCTCAAAAAATCAGGGGAAAGGGTTAGTTTTCTGAGCTAATCTAAGGCACATGTAAAAATTATATACAGGCACCCATCCTACAACCCTTATCAGCACATCAGTATGTTGGAATATATATACCCCTCTCTTGGCTGCTACACCAATGGAGTGGGGGCAGGACTTATTGGAAGGAGGGGAGAGAAAGCTGTGAGGAAATTCATTTCCACACTTCATCTGGAGTAGGCGTCTTGAGCCCCCAAAGCTGGTTTCTGAGTCTAGCTCTGGCAAATTTCACTAGCATATCAAATGGAGGATTTGGTTGCCTTACACTTACCCTAAGACTGGTGACTGGGATAATATCTCACCTGTACAAAGGGAGGATGAGACAGCTTGCCTAATCCTAATAAATTTATCAGATCGGAGAGAGCTTCCCACTCAAAATATCTCTTCAATGTGCATGAAGATTAAAACCTTGCATTCATCCCATGTATGGCAGTGTGCCTCTCATCTAAGCCAGTGACTCTCCAACAGGAGGCAGACACCATTATGACCTATTTGATGGGTAAGGACTGCCATGTCACAATGGAAGAGTGAGGAGTGCAATAAGCAGCAGCCGGAGCATGTGAAGTGTTAGAAAACAATTATCTTGTTTCCATGTAAATGATTCATGCCATAATTAAAACTAATGGGAGGAAGAAGAGAAACACAGACAAAGTAAGACACTGACTCTGGGAGGAATTGTTTGCTCTAGTTTTCAGCTGCTTTTCAAAGATGGATGGCAAAACAGATTTGGTTGTTGTAATAAAAGCTCTATTTAAATAACCAAAAGAGGAGAGATTTGCTTGAAGGTTGTTTTTGCCTACCTTTTCCCCAGAGCAGAGCTATGAACCTGCCGTGGGAGGCTGTGATGTAATTGCAGGCAGTGCATCATTTCCCAGCTGCTGGGAAGGCCATTTGTGGCATAAATTAACTATAAAAATACAGATGAGAAAATCTGCTTTTTCTCCAGAGGTGGGAGAGGCCACTTCATGCTCAATCCAGGCAGGCAGAGTCGGGCAGTTTAAACTCACATTGATTTACTTAAATGGGCCGCAGTGTGCAGCCTGGGGAGGAAACTGAACTCCCAGTTAAGCCATGGATGGCTGATTCAAGGATTCTCAGCTGGTGTAAATTGGCCTGGCTGTAATGACTGCAAGGGCACCTATGCCACTGATTTGCAACCACTGGAAAGTGGCTTTTCGGATCCAGTGAAATTCATACCAACTAACACCAGCTGTCTCCTTGTTTCTGGCTCAGTCGCTGGTATTCGCTCTGCAAGTGAACACCGCTATGGTATGCTTGTGATCCTGTTCTAATCTCTCCAGTGTCAGGTATAAATGTCACAGTCAAGACCCCAAAACTTCTTGAAGCAAGGACCTTTCCCACTTCACTGGACCTTTCAAAAATTGTGTCTTGCTGCTTGTTTGGCAGGATGTTGGTTAAAGATCTGATGTGCTGAGAAGGGAATTCTGGAACAGACAGTACCCACTTAGCTACACCCTCTAAATTAATGGAACACATATTAAAGGTTTTTCTACAGCATCTATTAAGGTGGCCATTATCTTTTATGTGCTGTAGTGGTTAGACCAAGATTGGGAATAAAGGTAAAGGTAAAGGGACCCCTGACCATTAGGTCCAGTCGTGACCGACTCGGCGGTTGCGGCGCTCATCTTGCTCTATAGGCTGAGGGAACCGGCATACAGTTTCCGGGTCCTGTGGCCAGCATGACTAAGCCACTTCTGGCGAACCAGAGCAGCGCACGGAAATGCCGTTTACCTTCCCGCTGGAGCAATACCTATTTATCTACTTGCACTTTGACGTGCTTTCGAACTGCTAGGTTGGCAGGAGCTGGGACCGAGCAACAGGAGCTCATCCTGTCATGGGGATTCGAACTGCTGACCTTCTCATCGGCAAGTCCTAGGCTCTGTGGTTTAACCCACAGCGTCACCCATGCCCCTACTAAGATTAGGGATACCTGTGTTCAAATCCTAAATCAGCCACAAAGCCCACTGGGGGATTGTGGAGCAGGCCAGCGATGGCTGAATCTGTCAATGTTGGTTTCTCTCAGTTTTTCAATATTAAAATCAGTTTCCTACATTTCCTCAGCAATTTGCATCACCATCATTAAAAAAAACCTTATGAAAATGTCATGTCCAGTTCTGTTTAATAAAGCGGAAGTTTTAAAACTGAGCTACTATGAAACATATACCTAGCCTTAAAAAGTATAAGGCATAGGAAGAAAGATTTTAAGTTGAATGATTTTAGGAAAATACTATTCAGTGCTGGAACAAACTTTTCAGAGAATTGTGAAATTTTGAGCAGTTCAAAGCAACAAAAATGTTTTCACAGGCATCAATCACCAGTGCTTTAGGATATCCTGACTTAAAGCCAATTAGATAGCCCACTGACCTTGGGCCAGTCGCAGTCTCTCAGCCTAACATACCTCACAGGGTTGTTGTGAGGAGAAAAATGGGAGGAAAAGAATGAAGTGCGCCACTTTGAGATTCTTGGAGAAAAGGAGGGATAAAAATGTAATAGACGCTTTCCAGCTTTGTTTTCTGGAATTCTGACACGATAAATAGAGCACACTAAGGGCTGCTGCCAAGGATCAGTAGATGCTGGTCATCAGTATTGGTGTTGCTTGAAAACACTCACTTTTGCCTTCAAGTCTCAGCAAGACATCAGAAGAAGCCATTTGAATCAACTGTGGAGTCTGAAAGGTCTGCTAAGACTGCAAACGATGTTGAGGCCAGCCAAGACAATATGGCCTCTTGCCAAGAAAAACCACCAAACTTTTCTTAGGAGAATTAACTCTAAGACATATCTTAAATCAAGAACTGCAAAATCCCACAGTGCTGTTGTAACTGTGTTTTGAATTTCTTGTGAATTCTGCATTTCCTCCCTTCATTAAAAAGCAAGAGTTCACTGTATGAACCACACAGTAAAATACCTTCATCCACTTAATAGGTGACATCATGGCTTTTACAATATACACTGAGAGTCAATATACACTTCAGTATTAGAACCTGGACTTAATGAGCTGTTGACAATCTGAAAAGTGATAGAGGAAGCTGTGCATTGTTTCGGCAACAATGTATGCTTCTGAAAAAGCACATATCCAGTGTCTTCAAAAATTTCATTAAGCTGAATGGCTACGAAGTGGCTGCTGTGCTGAGCCTATCACAAGTGTCAGTGATAAGTACTATTTTGCTGTTCCCTTGAACTTGCCATCTGCTATGATCACCTGTTTGCTCATGTTCCTAGGCCGATACTTTTTCTCTCCTCCCTTCCTCTCTATTTCCCATTCAAAATATAGTTCCTTTGGGACCAAGCCTCCCTTGAAATATGTCTCCAATATGACCTTGGTCTTCATAATCACCATACAACAAATTATGACTGCAATAAATATTGGAATGGATATTCAACTAAAACCATTTTGTATGGAAATCATTAGAAGAGGGCCAATGCATAGTTGCAGCTGTTATCACTGACTAAAAGTGAATTGATGGAAACTGCACATCTCCCTCCATGTGAGTTCTTACATACATGATATGTGAACAGGTACTTACCAAAGAGCTGGTATAAGTTGGGTCTGAGGTGTCATCTTGTAAGTAACGTGACAGGCCAAAGTCAGATACTTTGCAAACCAGGTTGCTGTTGACCAGGATATTTCTGGCTGCAAGGTCCCGGTGGACGTAATTCATTTCTGCAAGGTACTTCATACCAGCTGCGATCCCTCGCAGCATCCCCACCAACTGGATGACTGTAAACTGCCCATCATTTTGCTGTGTCAGTGAAAGTTAAATGAAAGAATTAGCATTCCTCTGTATTCAAAGAATCCAGGCTGGGAATAGTATCCTACAATACGGGCTCTAAGGAACAGAGATCTATTTGGCCAGATAGGGAGGCTAATTTTGGGGAAATGTGAAGAAAGAGGTCCCAAGAGATGATAGGAAATCTCAGAAGCAGTAGCTGAAGGAAGGAGAAAGAACAGGCAATAGACTGGAAACTAATTCTAATGAAAGCGTAAGTGGAAGAGATGGAGTGGCAACGAAAATATGAGCAGTAAATGAAAAGAATTGAGAAAAGGAAGGACCAATGAAGGAATCTCAAGGAAAAAGCCATTGCCTACTATGGCAACCTACATCAACCTGGTATACGCTATATCTTATTGGACTACAACTCCCACCATCCCTGACCATTGGCCATTTTGCTAAGGCTGATGGCAGTTGGAGTCCAAAACTTCCTGAGAGCACCAGAATGGGCAAGGCTGGTCCAAGAGCAGGAGAAGCTCTCCATTGGCGTCAGAAGGAGAGTTGGAGACCATTTAACAGTCCTGGGATGATGGTGATTATTTATATCCTGCCCTTTTCCCTGACAGAACTCAAGATAAAAACAAGAACTGCTAAAAACATAGAAAAATCAATAAAATCTGTTTAAAATACTTATCAGCTGGGTTGCTACAAAATGCAGTAAACATTTGGGCAACTTCCAAACAGATTTAGCAATAATTACATTAAGGCCAGGATGTCATTGTTGTTTTGGACGATTTAATTTGGAGGGAAAGGCATGCTCCTGCATTTGCATGGCCGAATTGCACAGTGAACACCTCCACAAGAGCTGGCCTCATTAAATCGATCCAATTTCATTATCACTTCAAAAAGAAAGAAAGTCATACTTACTCGTAAAAAGGAATCCAGGGCACCATTTTCCATAAACTCTGTAATAATCATCACTGGACGGCTTTTGGTGACCACCCCCTCTAGCCGAATGATGTTTGGATGATCAAACTGACCCATGATGCTGGCCTCACTCAGGAAATCCCGCCGCTGCTTCTCAGAGTAGCCAGCCTTTAGTGTCTTAATAGCCACATAGAGTTCTCTCTTGCCAGGCAGTTTGAGGCGCCCTTTGTAGACTTCACCAAACTCCCCTGTAATGGAACAGGTACCGTTTACAATCAACTTTGCTCGTTCTGCTATTTTAAGGGGGGGGGGAGAGAAATGAGAGCTACCCAAGCCAAGGACAAGGTGCTTGCCCAAGGCATTCTAAACATTTCTTCAAAAAGTGAATGGGCAGGAAAACACATGTCTAAATACCAGCCCTGTAATAAAGTGAACAGAAGCAACACACAGCACAATTCTTGTACCTTTAACTATTGTCAAAGAGGGAGGTTTGGGCCAGGGAGCGTTTTTCTTTTAGCACTATCACATGACATGACGCTATGACATCGCAATGCTGAAAGGTTCAGAAGCCTCTGTTCCAGCTTCCTGCAGGCTGGGTCTCTCCAGATGTTGCTGGACTACAGCTCCCATCAGCCCTAGCCAGCATGGCCAACAGTCATGGATGATAGGAACTGTAGTCCCAATATCATTTTGATGGCTCCAGGTTGTCTGAAACCCTGGAGAGCAGCTGCCAGTCAATGTAAACATTACTGAGCTAGATGGACCAATAGTTTGACTTGGTGCTTCCAACTAATCGGCCATCAGTTAATTCAGGAGAAATATGTTTTATGTTGTAATCTGTTTCATTGAAGAGAAACTTCCTAACAGTAAGAACTGTTTGAAAGAGAAACAGGAAGTGGTGGGCTCCTCTTCACTGTCTGCAATGCTGAAATTGAATTTTGCCAGGGGTGCTGCAGATCCTGCAAAAAGCAGAGATCTAGATGACATCCAAGGTCTCTCCAAGCTGTCACACTAATGGTACAATCCTCAACATGTATACTCAGAACCAAGTCCTACTGAGTTCATGGAGCTTTCTCTCAGTTACATAGGCATAATATTGCAGCCTTACTCTGTGATCCTAAGTCTATGTGCTAAGTCTTACTGAATTCATTGGACTTATTTTTAAGATCAAGCCACAAGACAGGCAAGACAAATATAACTCTGCCACAATTAGTAAAAGAAGAAAAGCAACAAATAGGACAGAAGAGACCAAAAACTGTTTTTATTCCAATTTTATACCAAAGCAGACAGAAAACTATTTACAGTGGACTTCAGTGGAAGCAGACAGGTGAAATTTTTAGAATGGGCTTCAGTGGAAGCAGAGTAAAAGGGAAAGGGCTTGCTGCTTGAGCTGCTCCCCAAGGTTTTTGTGAGCTACCAGTGTCTTCCATCTTGTCTCATAAAATGGGGAGGGAAAGGCTTTTGTGGAATGAGTGGGAGGCTCAGTATAGAGGCAGAAAATGTGGTTGGGAGGGAGATAAAGTAAAAGAGAAAATTAAGGATGCTTCCAGACAATAGCTCATAAAATAGGCACAGTGCCAACTCCAGAAGAGGTACTTCCTATTCCAAACATTTGGTGCCATGACGGTACTGCCATTGTTGTGCCACCCAGACTGCCTCTAGTCCATTTGGACAGACAGTGATCGGAATGAAAATCCACATGCTGTACATCTGATGCTCAGAAGCAGCTTCATCTGGAAGCACCTTTAGCGGCAAAAGAAGCAACGCTGAAGCACTGAACGCAAATAGCAAGCAATGAATGCAAACAATAGGTTGGCACAGATTATAAGCAACTGGTTATAAAGATGCTGGAAAGAAAGAGCAAAGAGATATAGCAGCAGATGGGCTCTGACACATGGGAGTTGGGAACTTACATGCTAGCAAAAAACTTTTTTGAGGCAGACTCTAGATGCCCAGAGCAAAGGAATGGGCAAAAAGTATACTCTGGTCCATTGGTGGACTACAGGCCACTTTCTGATGGTTCGTGTACTGTGGCTCTCCAGGTGATGTTGAACTCCAACTGCCATCAGTCCAGCTAGCCTGGCCAATAATAAAGGGTGATGAGACTTGTAGTCCAACCATGTCAGGAGACCCACAGGTTCCCCTACCCCTGTTATAAAGAATGCTGGACTAGCTTGCTCCTAGTGTGCTCCACCCAAGCACTTCTTATATTCTCAGGAAAGACTGCATACTCAGGATTTCCACCATTTCACAATAGTGGAAAGATTCTGAGTATGCACACTTACTCTGTAAATTTGGGGTGAGGGGACATTGGAAATCCTTGGGGATGGTAGTAGACCAGTCCTCTCATGGTGTAGTCAAAATGCAATACTTTGCTGTCTTCAGGTTGCGATACTTTCCGCTTTTGATGGACTAGATGGGCTTTGGGATCTACCTATGGTCCACTGCAACCACAAAGATTCTTTTTTCCCCTTACATGGCTACTGTTAACTAAAGTTCTGAACATGCTGCTCCCTCCAGCAGGGGTACTAACCTCCTCCTAGGTAAACTGTACTTCCTGGATCATTTGAAGTTGTACAGTGATGAAGCAACATTCACATGTTAGCACTGTCTTTGGGAATGGGTCTCTGGTATGACGAGTTTGAGAAGTGCTCAGGGGCTGTAGTTAAACTGTGCCCGTCCTGGGTAAGCTTACCACTCAAAAGATTTAAAGGGAACAAGTCAAACGATTTGCACAAAATAACAACTAATCTCCTAAATGCTGTTCTTCACACTGTTGTTTAACACAAACGGCTGGTTTTTAATAACTAGAGGGTAGGTTGTTGTTGTTGTGTGTGTTTTAATGGCAAGTATGCAAGCTTTTCCTTCTGAAATTAGCTAACGGCCCCAAAAAGGTATGATTCCTGCTGTAGCAGATAAGAGAGATGCTGTAAACTAGGGAGCTATTGCCCTACCTATTTATTGTTAATTAAACCAGGGAGCACAACAATGTATTAAAGTGAGTCAATTAATTAAGCACAGTCTCTTAAATCACAGAAGAAAATTCTGTTAGGCTTCCAGGAGAAAAGTGCCAGTCCACTGTTAATTGAGCAGAACGAGCCTGAGCATCCACAACAGAGGAGGGAAGGGAAGAAAGCAGGAAGGTAAATGAAGGGAAGGGGAAAGGGGGGAGGGATGCCACTGAAACCTGCCCAATGGGAAATGAGTCACACCTGCTCCAATGACTTCTTCAATCTTCACGAAAGACACATCAATTTCCTTGGCAAACTCACGAACAGCTTCATTGGGGTCCTCATACGTAAAAGGGTCAATGTAGATCTTCATTCCTGGGGATCCTTCTCATTTTAGAGAAGAGCGGAAGAGAGAGAAAAAATCATATTCATCTCCGGGAAAAGGGATCAACAGCGCGTCTCCCCCTAAACCTTCCTTCCTTGCCTATCTGTACAATCAGCTCCCCTATTCACTTGCTCTCTTGTTTCGTTCTTCCTCTTATATTTCTCTCCGCTTCCCCTGCATTATCTTTTCTCCTTGAAATGTGTAACGTATTAGTTATAACTGGCAGATTGGGAGCAGGCCATGGGTTGCACCCAGAAAGTGGGTGCACACTGTTATTTATTGAAGCAGTACCAAATCCATTAGCAGGAGAGTCAAGGAAAGAACTGCAGGTAGAGATCAATATTTATCAATCTGACACCTTTCCTGCGTCGGTCTGATTGGAAGGGTTATACCAGGTGGCTGTGCTATAGCAGTGAATGCAGGGCAAAAATAAAGATAAAAATCAAAGAGAATAGCAGCAAGCTGAGAGAATAAATGAATGAAGAGGAGGAGGAGGAGGAGGGGGAGAAAGGGAAGAAAGAAGGAAATCGCTTTGGGAAAAGTTGTCTCAGAAATGAAAAAGAAGAAAGGAAAGAAAAATCAAGAGGATTCAATCACAGTGAAAATCATCACGGTGTCCCTTCTGAAAGAGGAGGCGTATACAGATGAAGGACTTAAGAGAGTGCAGAAAGTCATTTGTTCAGCTTTTTGACATTCTAGGAGCTTTCCAGTTGATTCAGATTGACCACCTCTGTAGCCTGGTATTGAATGCCTCCTTGTAAGCCCTCTCTTGTTCAGGCTGAACATTCAACCCGCTAGAGGGAAGTCACAAACCAACACTAGTTTGCTGTTTTTATGGGAAAGATGGCAGCAGGTTTACGATGCTGCTGTTCATGCATAATTTAAGCCATTTTTATTTACCCAACATACCTTTGATAGTTTTGTGGCTGCTACTAAAATGACAGAATGCAGCAATTACAAACGAGTGAGCATCCTAATGATAAAATACAGCCTCCATAATAAATATTCTTGGGGGTTTGCTTTAGCTTTCAAAAAGCGTCACATGGCCCCTTGCAGCAGGCTGCCAAATCTCTACCAGACATGACTGGGAACTTGTAGGCTGCTGCAGGGAGTTTGGGAGGTTGCCGGCAGGAGTTAACTTTGGTAGAAACCTCATTATTTCACTCATTAAATTTTAAGAGAGATCTCACACTCAGGAACACAAATCGCATTGGTGGAGGCATTTCCTCCCATCTGGTGCACATTAAATCGTGGAACCCGTGAATCTAACAAAGGCTAGTCAAGTTGCTGTTTTGAGATTACACTGCAAAGTTGAACGCTGGGGGAAAATGATCACTTTCACCCATTACAAAAGCACCCGATGTATTTCTTGTTTGCGGCCAGGTACTAGGAAAGAGAAGTGAGAGCTCTACCACCTCCCGAACTGCAGCTTAGTCCTCTCGGGCCTTTTATGCCATTCACCTGTCAAATTACCTGGCCTGCAGGATCCAAAAAGGTGTTGCTGCAGCTATGAGGCCCAGCAGGCTGAAGCTGAAAATCCCAGTCTTCCGAACGTGAAAATGGGCTTCCCAAGTAGTGAAAGTCACCTGAGCTAAACATGGCATGCATTACATCACACCATCCTTTGCCAACCTGGTGCTCTCCAGAAAATTGTCCTTCCATTTCTTCTTCAACTCTCTCTTTGTAGTGTACACTATTTTCAGAGAAGTGGCTAACCTAAGATTTGTCATATGCTTTTGACCAAAATGAATCACTATATTTAACACCTGAAAAGATTGCCAGAGATAGTCTGGGTGATCGCAGCAGGCAATCCTTGGAATGCATTGCACAGTTATCTTGTTTTCACTGGAAAAATAGTAATCCTCTTTTATTCTGGGCAATGGCACTAAAGTCAGCCCCACTGCTGTGACTCTCCTATTCCCTACTCTCACCTGCCCCTTTCTCTTTCCATCCTATTATTAACTTTTGTTCTAGCATCTCATCTCAACCTGGGATTTGCTCCTCACCTTTTTTATGTTTGGCAATCAGTCAGAGAGCAAACACTCTCCACCTCTTCTCGGCTTAGGACTGCAGTTTTAATGTCTATATAATTAATCCAATCCCATTCAAGCATTGTTCGTTTACCACATATTTAACGTTAAGTAGCAGCTGTAAGCCCTATGAAATGTGAAGATGCAGGTCTAGAATATCCCAGGACTGCAGAGGAGTCACTCCAGAGAAACTCCAGAGTTTCTATGAGTCTTGAGAATTCAGAGTGCCTGACACTCACAAGTCACATAGGAACAGGGCAGAATGTCCATTCCCCACCAACTGCTGGTTACTACTCATCCGGATGGTGCACCACGTCTAGTAGAAGCAGCACAGGTGGCATAGGACACAACACCTAGTGAAATACCAAACCCTTACAATAGTTCATCTCTCTTCCTTGCAGTACAATTCTTTCACTTACAGCTTAGTAGTAAAGCACTAAATCTGCCAAAGGGAAAGCTGCAGCTTACAGGAAGGCAGCCTTAGGCACACACTGGGCCAAAACTCTATCCTTCCATTACTGATGGCAAAACCTGTGATGAAGTCATCCATGCTTTGCCCAGTTCATAAATCTTTTTACAGCTTCATCACATACATTTTTACTGTTCCATAAATCCTTTTACAAGTGCAGCTGATGCTCTAGCAGGATTACAAAGGAATTTACAAGATCATAACCAAGGCTGGCTTACAGATTAGAAAAGCAAAACAAACATATAATGCAGAAGGATCAAGGTGGGGACGCAATGACCTTGGACTTAGTGCTACCCACTCGGCCAGTGTAAAATGGCTTCTAAATGTCCAGGAGAAAGGCATCCATGCTGCTGACAAACAGCTCTGGGCTCATAAGAAGTCTGAGGAAATCTGCCAGAGTTTGGAACCAGACTATGGATAAAGGCAGTCTGACATATTTGGAACAACATGTCTGGAAGTGTAAAGTTCAGTACAAAGACCAAATCCAACCATAGGGCTATCAATAAAAGCTTTATGATTCGTCTACTCAAAGATGGTGAGTAGAACGGTGTATATTCCTAGTTGACAGGAGCTGTTTGGTTTTCTTGCTGAGAATTAGCAACCTCTCTGTTCTGCCTAAAGAAGAGGACTTTTCTGCACAGGCATGCGCACACACACACACACACACAGACACACCACTCACAAGCGATAGACTCAAGTGACCGCATACACACACAGCGCTGGGAAATAATTAAATAAAGTATGTACAAACATAAAAGCACAGAGGCATAAAGACTAATATATTCGGCACCAGAAGGTGAACACCATGATGCAGGGGTGGGTCATTGAGCAGAGCCAGATAACAGCTTGGGGCCCGGAGAGCTCCAAGGGACGGATCCCAGAAAAGGAGAACTGAAGACGAGATCCGACATGCACTCTCTTCAAAACTGTCCGATTAGTTTTTGATGTTGTTGTTTTTGGTGGTTTTTGTGTGTGAGATAACTGCATTCAGGAATCTCGCCACCTGCAGAGTTACAGAAGGATCTGTATCCTGCAAAAGTAGTGCGGCATGTGACTCAGCAGGCCTGCCAACCAAGCGCAGTAAAGCAGGGCCCAGGAATTTAGTCCTGGCTATGCTATGTAGGGGACAGTTGAACATTATATGTGAGAGAGAATCAACAGTTTTCCCGTCACACACGCATAGCGGAGACACCAAACCCTTGGAAAATCTGTGGCTCAGCAGGTTCGATGGAAAGACATTGAACCTTGCACGAATAAATGCATGTCGGTGTGGTACAGATGAAAGAGATGACATGTATGATGGAAGGCCAAGTGGTGAGGTTATTCCGTGATACCTGGGGGAGCAGACACCCTCACCCCCGGCGAGGTTGTGTTGATTTTCAATGTCTGCTAATCTCTGCTCAATAAGTCTTTTGGCTGAGCGTAAGTTCATCTTTAAGGAGTCCGCTGGGGAAATTCCGATGCTCAGAAGTTTGGCATGGATTTTTCCTACCCATGGATTGACAAAGTCGTCCCGCCAGAGGCACTGAAAAAGGTAATGGTTGGGAAGCCTGTGCCAGCTGGACAGCCAATAACCAAAGACTCGCTTCCAGATGACCGTCTCCAATGATGCAATCCTTAACTCCAGACGTATGGCTGCGTTGCTCACACACATGGGGAGTTTCAGGAGGCGACGGAGAAACTGATTCTGCAATGTCCCCAACGATGTTAAATTGGACCCTGGGGCCCAGAGCGGGGCAGCATAACAGAGGGTGGAAACCACTTTTGCATGGTACACCTTCAATGCAGAAGGGATGTGGGAGGCTCCGTCGGCCGCAAAAAATTGGAGTAGAGTATAAAGTATTGTTTTCCCTTTGTTTAGTAAATACTGTATCTGTGGCTTCCAGCTTAGGTTGTAGTGAAAAAGACTCCCAGGTATTTAAATTTGAAAACTTGTTCTAATTGGACTCCATCTAACTTCCAGCTGTAAGTTTTCCGAGACCTGGTAAAGACCAGGACTTTAGATTTCCCATGATTAATTGTCAGATGGTTGAGTTTGCAATAAGCCGCAAAAATCTTTAGAGCTCTGCATAAACCGACTCTAGAGTAGGAAAGGATCGCTGCATCGTCGGCATATAAGAGCAGAGGGCAGCGAAAATCAGCTAGGCGGGGGCATGAATGTTGGCTTGAGACTCATTCAGAAAGAGCTTCATATCGCTAATAAACAAGTTGAAGAGGAGTGGGGCCAAAATGCAACCTTGGCGCACACCTCTATTTATTGGGACCTCGTTGGATAGGTTTCCCGCCGGTGTGAGTCTCACTCTAGCCGACGACCCATGGTGTAATTGGGTTATAAGCCATAACAGCCTTCTATCTATGCCCCATCTCTCTAATTTCTTCCATAGACAGTTTCTTGGGATACTGTCGAAGGCGGCCTTTAGGTCTATGAAAGCGACACATAGGCGCCCCCGACTCGGGGCAGAATATTTTCTGGCAAGATGATACATGATTACCATATGGTCAGTGGTCGAATAATTGTTCCTAAAGCCCGCTTGCTCGTGGCCAATCAAATTTGAGTCGTTTGCCCAATTGGACAGCTTGGACAGCAAAAATTTTGCATAGATTTTCCCGATGATAGACAAAAGGCTGATGTTCCGATAGTTCTCCGGGTCAGCAGGGGGACCCTTTTTATGGACTGGCACGATCACGGCCTCCTTCCATGACCTAGGGATAAGCCCCGTAGAATTAATTGCATCAAAGACTTTGGCCAGGATTTCAGCCCACCACCTCGGTTGCGCAACAATAGCCTCAGCAGGGACTAGATCCAGCCCGGGGGCTTTGCCCGTTTTCAGATCTAATATCAAGTCCATTATCAGGTCTGGGTCGGTAGAGGGCCACAAAGGTAGATGGTCGGCTCGGAATTCAGTGGATGAGTTGGATTCCTCTGCCAAGGAGAAATATTTGCTCAAGAATTGTTCCCATGTGGGCGCAGGGATAATCGTCAGTGGGTACTTCCTTCCTCTTTTGTTTATCAAAGCCCAAAATTCCTGTGGTCTGCGGGATCTAGAGGCCGCAATCAAGGCTCGCCAACGCTTTAGATACCACTCACGTTTGGCCAGCTTTAAAGTCTGTTTGTATGCTCTTTTGGCTTGTAAATAGGAGGATGGTAGAGCCTGGGCATTAGAGTTTTTGTATTCATTATAGATGGAACGAAGAAGGGATCTTGCTTGTTTGCAAGAGGTATTAAACCAAGGGGCCCCAGCACTGCAATGCGCTACTTTCGCCTTTTGAGGAGGTAATGTAAAAAAGTGGTAAGGTTTGTTGTAAGAAGGTTAAAAATTTCAAAACCGAATTGGAATCTTGTAAATCAGTAGCTATTTGAGGTAGATAGGCAGTGATTTCCCTATGGAAAAAATCCTGGTATTTTTGGGCCACAGCCTCCGACCATTTGATCCCACTTATTTTGGTCGCTGATGAGGTTTCCAGAGGGACTGAGTGTTTATAGTCCTTCTGGTACCGGAACAATGACAAAGTGGTCACTATTGGGAGGTGATCACTGAAATGTTGGTTTTCAACTTGGAAGGAAAGTACATTGACGGCCAAATTTGCGGAGATCAAGAGGTAATCGATAACACTGTTAGATGCTGGTCCCAGGTGAGTGAACTCCCCGGTATATCGGGGTAAGGTGCCGTTCAAGAATACTAGATTCAGGCGAATGGCCATTTGGTAAAGGGTCACTCCAGCTTTGTTTACTCTGTTGTCCTTTGAAGTTCTAATTCTAGCATGTTCCAAGTCAAAGTTGCCCAAACATGGGGGAGTCCACCATTTGGACTTGATTAGTAGGTCCCAATTTGTGGCAATTCGAGCATTAAAGTCTCCCCCAATTAAGGAGTACGAGTTAGGGCATTTGGTATGACATGACAATAGGTGATTTTCAAATGATTCCCATCTCCAATCAAGATCAGGTGCTGAGCCTTCGGGGGAGATAACCATTAGTAATTAGTAATGAGGACTTCCCTTCTGCGATCAGTCCAGAAAGAGCAAAAGGCGGGGAAGCCCGTACCAGGGTGAATTTGGCGCGAAGTTGGAGTGAGATCCCAATCAAAAGACCCCCTTTGGGGCGACCACCTTTCAAGGAAGGGGAGGCCGGAAGTGTTAGAAGATCAAAGCCGTCTATGGTAATCTCTTCCTCATCCCATGTTTCTTGGAATAGGATGATGTTAAATGAATTTATGTACTTCCTGAATTCGGGGTCTGATTTTTTGGTTCTCCAACCAGCAATGTTCCAGCTAAGTATTGATAATGTCGGGTCCTTGTGCTGTCCCGGTAATTGTCACTTTGAGTTGTTTAATGGGTTCTTGGAGGTAGAGCGAGGACCCATAAGGAAATCAGTAATTTTAGTTTGTGCGGATAAAGTCTTCTTCTGTGTTGATTGAATCCGTGATTTGGTAACATTAACAGGCAGGAAGGGCTTTGCCGGGGAGGAAGAATTAGGCAAAGTTGGTGAGGTCGGATGCTGTTCATTGAGGTGAGTAGTAGCAAGTCTTTGATGGTCTATACTAGTAGATCCATCAGAGTTATCAGTCTTAACCAGGGTAGCACTAGGAGGTGTTCCAGTCATCACTTGTAGTTGCTGCGCAGCTGGAGAAGAATTATCACGCAGATGTATAGAAGGACGTGAACGCGGAGATGGTACATGCATAGTCATTTCCTGGTGATCTTCAGACAGGGTAGATTCTAGCTCAGGCATTGAGGCAAAGGAATCGTCAACTTCCATATTTTGATTGGACATAAGGTCTAAGACGGGAGTATTGAGTTTATCAACTTCCTCCACGGTAGAATGGTGCTGTTGGAGCTGTTGGTCAACAGGTGATTGCTGATTCAGATCAGTAGGGGGTAACAAAGTAGCAGGTTGAGAGATTATCAGGGCATTTGATGGAGACGCCTTGTGGGACGTGGAGTGCCTGCTCTCCTCTCTCATCGGCATAGAGGGGTCCCCTTGCGATAGGAGTCTTTGTTTGAGTAGATCCAATCTATCGAGAATAGCCTGCTGTTCTTCTGAAGGGAGTTTTCCATAGGAGAAGATAAGATTTCTCTCTTCAGGGATATTCCAATCTCCGCTTGCAATTGGATCATTCCTCAGTGTAGCTAGATGGGCACTTGAGGTCGCAGATGGAGCAGGGGGTACCCAGCTAGGTGTTTTCCCCTTTATTATAGGAACAGAAGGAGGAAACGAGCGTTCATTGCCGGTTAAGATGTTGGCAAAAGAGGTTTAACACTCGTGTCATAGTTCAATTCAAACCCAGAAATGGCAGGAGAGAGCTACAGAGTCCTCATGGCTCACAAAGGGACACTCTCCAGATTCCGAAGAAGATGTCAGTGAGGGTGAAGGAAACCCCATAGAGACCAGAGGTGCAGCAGGGCTCTGATTAGGCTGTTCAGCCTCCCCATCTAACAGCTGATGTGTGGGGTCACGCAGCAGCTGCAGCTGCTTTCCCATGCATCCTCCAGCCTTCTGCTGGCCCCAGAGTTTCAATTCTAGTTGTGGATATTTTTGGATCCAGTATTTTGGTATGGATTGAAGTGAGAGGGCACAGAGGGCGTTTAAAGGGTGCTTAGAGGTGCTCCCCACTTTAGTTTCACTGAAGCATGCAGCTGGGGAGAATGCCTGTATCTCAAAGTTGTGCATTTTTTTCTGCACCACCAGCAGATGGCAAGCTAGTGAAAGCTGCATCTCTCTAATTTTGTGTTTCAGGGTTTTCAAGGGCACACACTCTGCATCTCGCATGGATACTTACCAAAACAATAACTGAGAAGATAAATCCAGTGGAATCACCTGGCTATGAGACTTATGCACAGTATTAGCATGGGCACACAGCTCTTGCCAGCACACAAAATGGATCATGAACTTTTGGAAATTACCTTTAAGATGTAGGAGAGCTTTATCAACGGCTTTAGCCAAAATAGCTAAATGGAACCTCCACATATAGAGGTAATGTACCTATGTATATAAATACCAGATGCTGATGATAACAACAAGGGAGGTCTTCATGTCTAGCTTGTGACTATGGGAAGCATCTGGTCAGTCTCTGTTAAAAACAGAATGCAAAACTAGATGGACCTTGCTCTGCTCCAGCAAGCAATTATTGTCTTCTTAACTTCTTACTTGTAGAACAAGATACTGATACTCTGCAAGCAGGCACATAGAAGAGACTGGCTTGCCAACTGAGGCTGCCTCATTTGTGTTTGGCTGCTTATTGCATCTAGGTCATTTAAATGCCAGCGCTCCAACACTCAGAAAATGGTTTGAAGAGTTAATTAGACAGACTAACCTAGATGTTTCATTTGGGGGAAAAGATATACACTGTAAGGATTTCTGTTTTACTGTTGCAGTGATAGACTATAGCACTGGCTCTGCAGTGTGCCGAAACAGAATTGAAAGCGTTGCTTGTTACCTTGTACCCTTTTTTATTTACATCAGCCAAGTAGAGGGGGCTGCAGGGAGTGCTCTTACTAGAGCTTTGCTGGGGTAATGAGGGACTTTTCCATGCACTCTGGTTTCCGTCATGGCGTGCCATGGTGCCAGAAGCAGTTTAGTCATGCTGGCCACATGATCTGGAAAGCTGCCTGTGGACAAACGCCAGCTCCCTCAGCCTGAAAGCGAGATGAGCACCGCAACCCCATAGTCACCTTTGACTGGACTTAACTGTCCAGGAGTCCTTTACCTTTACCTTTGCTGAGGGACACTTTCTCCCCACCACAAACATAAAGAAATGGTCCTGACCTGTGGATTCTTCCAAGACCCGGGATTTTAAAAGAAAATGTTTTATTTGCTCTCTTTCTCCATTATCTAGCCTGCAATCGTTAGCAAAATGCCTTCTTTTGGGAAACCTTAAATGACCTCTTATGTGCATATTTTCATATTCATGTGAGAATGATCTCTGGCCACCCCAAGCCATTCTCCAGACCTTGGATTCTCTGGGCTCTCTTGGCCATTACTTCCTCACTTAACCTTCCCACTGAGCAGTGTGGAATTAGGAGAGTATCCTGTTCACATAGCTTTCATTAGTAGTCACCACAGCTTTGGCAACAAACTTTCCCCATCCATCCATCCATCCCTATACTCAGAATTTATGGATGGAATTCCAAGCAGCGCTAAGGAGATCACTCCATCAGCACAAACATTTTTACTTGCCTGATGGAAAGATCTCCCATCTCCTCCCGCTGCATGCTATTCTGGGTGTTCTCTCACCTCTCTTCGGGCTGGTAGGAGGGCATGAGAGCAGGAGAAGGAGGAAGCCCCATTGTGCTAGTGGGACTTGTTGCACTGGCTCTGGCTAGCAGAGCTAGGTAAAGGTAAAAAGGTAAAGGACCCCTGGATGGTTAAGTCCAGTCAAAGGAGACTATGGGGTTGTGGTGCTCATCTCACTTTCAGGCCAAGGGAGCCGGCGTTTGTCCATTGACAGCTTTCTGGGTCATGTGGCCAGCATGACTAAACCACTTCTGGTGCAACGGAATGCCATGACAGACACCAGAGCGCATGGAAATGCTGCTTACCTTCCCACCACAGTAGTACCTATTTATCTACTTTCGAACTGCTAGGTTGGCAGGAGCTGGGACAGAGCAATGGGAGCTCACCCCATTGTGAGGATTTGAAATGCTGACCTTCTGATTGGCAAGCCCAAGAGGCTCAGTGGTTTAGACCACAGTGCCACCCGCACTCAAATTCCAGGAACAGAGTCTTTTATTTTGTGCAGTGCAGGCCTTGCTCAGAGGTTGCCAAAAGTGGATAATCTGAAATGTGTGCAGTCTTCAAGGCACTATCAGCAGTCACCTGGGATATGCACTGTTACCAATGAGCTGCTACTCAGATTTGGCATCCAGGTGGGAGCATTTTCAAAAAGAGGCGGGCGAGCTTTGAAAATAAAGGAAATGCATTGGCAGGATTGATTCAAGGCATGGCACCCCACAGATCAATGCAGGAAAACATACCTGCAGAAACCTTTGTTTTGTCTCAGAAGGAACGAGTTGATCTGCTGCCTATTAATAACTTTTAAAATTTCTGCACAGAGGAAGCCAGAATTTATGTGCTGCCTTACCTACATATTTTTGCTTTGTTTTATGCCAGCTGTCTCAAATTTGTCCTGATGGGCTGCCCTTACAATGTTCCTGCCACTGGGCTGTGTGCTTGCTTTTGCCTTATACGAAATAATTCTTTCCATTAAAAAAAAAAATGCTGTCAGACAGAGAGACAAAGTGCTGTTTCGGGGAAAATGTCAGCAGTGGGAACACATCAGAGGACCAAGGGCATAGGGAGAAGTACTGTAATGGCTCGGGGAACAAGGCTTTAGCTAATGGGCATTAAAAAGTGCAGAAATGCCGCAAAAGAGCATCATGGCAGTAGGGAAGAGGCGTATCATGTATACAAACAGTCCAGTGGTGTTTGAGGAGTGGTAAATATGTTTGCTCAAAGATTTGCTGGCTACAGGGGTACGAAGGTCATGCTGAAGAAGCTCCTGCAGAGCCCAGAAAGTAAAAATCCATCCAAATGTCACGACACAGAAAACTAACTTGCTGAACAAAGACACAGCAAACAGCAACCATGGGGATGTGTGCATTTTTATATCAAAAAGGGAAGTTTC